GAGGGCCTTCTTTTACAATAACTAATCTGTTTCTTTGCAAATATGGCAAGGCCACTTCCAGGGCAGTCTTGACACATGGTGTATCCTCCAAACACACACTCGGGAAATTGCGTACTGATATGAAAGCCTAAGGAAACAAGAGGTACAAGTGAGTCAAGCGGTGTAACCATGACGTGCAGGTCAATGAATCTCAAATTCCAGAAATTCCAAAGCTTCCAGACGACTCTAAAAAGTGAAAAGAGCGATCGACGGGGCACATCATGCCTGAAATCATCCTGCAACAGCCTGAGGACCTCTACAATTGGAGAATGGCCAAACATATGCACAACTGAGGTGCATGTACGCCGAGTTGATCAGACTCGGTGGCCCACAATCATGCCGCACTCCCCTGCAATAGAAAGAAACCTAACCAAAAGGTAACCTCTGAATCCAAGGTGTACACACACAAAGAGCCCCAAATGCAAAAAGAAGCTCTGCCTGAGCTCTGGAATGCTCCAGACCTGTGTCCTCCATATAAAAAAACGGGCAACTAAGGATGTCTTTCAACTCCCAACTCTCTGTAGTGTTGTAGCCCTTTCTTCAGCTGCTCTCTTTCACCAGCAAAATCAAACGCACCAAAAAGCCGTCGCACTCATTCTCAGCTCCCCTAGTCCAACCGCCGATTCCACCAGCCCCAGTTCCGTTGATTCCGTCAGCGCACTTTCCAGGCGCTGGCTTCCACTTGCCCTCCATCACCGCCTGGCACGAAGCGGAGTGCCAGTCGGACTGGTGACATCTAGCAAATGAACGAACAAAAGCTGAACCCTGAAGCCCAAACCCCAGTTTGAGACACATCCAATTGTCACTAGAAAGACAAAGAACATGTATACTGTGACGTAGTATACATCTGATTTCCATAGCGACTGCATGTTTCCATTTCGGTGCTCCAGTGATGGGTGAGGGTCAAGGAAGTTGCTGAGAACAAGTCAGAGATATACTATATCTGGGAGCGAGAGGCTTGAGGGGAAGGAATTATGTCTAAAGGCTCGTAGATTCACCGACCATGGCCATTCATGTGTGCAACAGGACCATAGCAAGGTGTCGCCTAAACTGGCAGGTCAGTGTGCATTCTTGCTGCGGAGTATGGGAGACAAAATCATGTAGCTGCAGCTTGCCCATGCTGACACTCAACAATCACTGCAAAACACTGAGTTTGGGACATTCACCACTGTGCTGACGTCATGTCTCGTCAATCACTTTTGCACTCAAAAGACGGTTCTGCCGAAAGCCAGTCGCCACGAACCGTAAGGTGGTTGACCACTGACGGAATCAAACTGTACTGTACATGACAACGCTCTCAGAGACCTCTAAAGCTCTGGCCGGTGGCACGGCAATGCCAATCTCTTATCAGGTTGTGTGTCTCTACAAAGAGCAGTCGTTTGCTTCTATGGGAAATCTTAAAATGCGCAAAGAGCCCACAACTTCTCACAGCGTGTTTTGTGCGGCCAGACTCACCCACACTGAAGCTCGTGATATCGCGTATCACCTATCGCCATTGCGACACAAATTTGGTTAAGTTTCGCAACACAACATTTTTACATAACTGGATGTCTTAAGGTATATGTATATATAATACATATATATATATATCATATCTATTAATTATATGAGTTAAATAACTTACTGTAAATATTAAAAACACACATATTGTATATATTATTACATAAATAATATGCATAGTACAGTGCATAGTACTATGCGATACTATGCGTATTATATACTATCAGTATTTCAATGTATTTTAATATGTATATACATGTGGGTGTACAGTCTGTCGTGTGAAGCTGTGATGATATACCGGTGCCCACTCTCCCACCCGAGACCTTTGATCTCTCATCCTTCAGGTGGGAGACCACCAGCCAGGGGACTTTTGGCTCTGCGTTTCGGCCAGGCGTCGGTGTTTCTGGCGTCGTCATGGAGGATGGGAAACAAAAGTTGCAGTGCTGTGGAGGAAGGCCTTCACACCCAAATCGCCGGTGTGGCGACAAGGTCTGCGAAGGAGACCTTTGTGCTTCTGACTTGCAGCAACCACCACACATCGTGGTACTACCGGGCGCCGTCAGACCGGAAAGAGGCACACAGACCACATGGACTTTGACTGGCGAAACAGGTTGGAGGAAAATGAGGAAAGCATACAAACCTTCCCAAGCCTCGCCATCCTGGCCCACCCCAAGCTGCAAATGAAGTCCAGACACTCCACCAAGCTGTAATTCTCTCTATGCAGAAGGACAACACCTGTTCAAGAGGTCCTTTCACATGCAACTGATCATGGGTCAAAACACTGAACCTCACAACTGCCCAGCTTCCTAAACATTCTCACAATTGGCTTTGGCCCGCTCAGCGCAACCAACACTCACTAGAAGCAAAAACTAAACAGTTGGTCTCTGAACACAAACGAACAAGAACGTCCTTTTCCAGGTCGAAAAAACACCTGGCCGGCTGTGCGTGAATTCAAAAGAACTTTACAAACTTTACAGGTATAATCTGCTGGATTCTAAGTCGATTCCGAAGAATTATACTTCGCCCCTTTCTTAAGGCAGCAGGTCCATTCCACCAGGGGTCTTCTGGTGTTAGAATCACCTGCGACCAACATTTTGGGCGTGCATGTGGCGAGAAGAACGTGGACTTTAGCCACAAATCCCGCTGCAAGAGATCCCGCAGGGTGCTGAACAGGATTCGCTCCCTTCATGGCCCGCCGGACTTCAGGCCACTTCCACCTGACAGACATGACTCACGTCTGACTCATCCCGAGCTGGCGGCCCCTGCCGGCTGGCGGCCGGTTGGGGTGAGTCGTCCCTACCTTCGGATGTGGGAGCCTGAGAAACATGTCGTGGATGGTCAAAACCAAGCCATAACATGTCAAGTGTTTGTAAGCGAAGTGGGTCATATTGTAGTTCTGTCAAGCCAACTCGAGCAACAGGTGGACTGTTGGAGCATGTTTTGCTCACATGTCTTGCAAATTGATATGCAAAAGGAGGATGGACGACACGCAACAATGTATACCAAAGCTAAAAAAATTGGAGGACGATGTAAACTCCGAGACTTCAAGAACCAGAGATTTCGGCGCACAAACGTTGATCAGCTTTAATTGCTTAAAGTCTAAAGTCAAAAACAGTCTAAATTATAAGCTTTATGCAGGCTAGTTTGACTGTTGGGCGCCACCACAAGCAAGATTATTCTTTCTGCACCCATCATAGAAAATCATAGAAACAGGTGACACATGTGTCCTGATAACGTTTCACTGATGTGGGCACTTCACTGATGTGGGCACTTCACTGATGTAGGAAACAGTTTTTTTGCGATCCCTGTCGCTGCCGTCTTGCGCCCAGGTGCTCCAATGGTGAGAGACATGTCAGCCTGCCATAGTGTTTGCACTTCTCAACATCTCAACACAACGAAATATCCAACCAACCAAGAAGAGGTGGAACCCTGCTGTGTACATTCTGATCACTACAGCAACCTCAAAAACGAGACGTGACCCTTGAAACGTCATGAAAACACAGTGTAGAGCCCTCAGAAAAAGCGAAAGCGCCCAACTGCCAGGTGTTTGCAACTCCAACCTTTCATGAAGTAGGGTCCTACAACACCCACGAGTGCCGCAACATGTTTGTCTGGAGTTCGGGATCAGTGGCTATGCTATCCTAATTCTACAAGTTATTATAGCCTAGGTATGTGGTGAGAAAAGGAGCGAAAATAGCAAGGGGCGAACTTCTCATGCCCTTGCCTGCATCAACATAATAACCGCCATCACACGAACACCTTCTGGCGCCATTGATTGTAGTGCTGGCACTTCTTTGTCAAAGTGTTTCTTCATGTGAATCAACCACCGATTCAAGCAGAAGAAGAGAAACACATGTTTAACGGACCACAGAGTACACTCATTTCGCTTCAGCTTCACAAGAACCAGCTGTTCGACCCGCTGAAAAAGTTGGTTCTTTGTACCATGCAAACCCTACAACCCAGTCCCCCAATAGAATCCCACATAGGCTCACTCTATAGGCTCACTCACTCCATGGAACTCCGGCGGAATTGGACAACATTTGCATCCCAATGTAGACAAAGAACTATATTATATATAATAACCTAGTTCGGGGTGGAAACTCCGCCAGAATTCCATTTAGAAGGATATGTAATCTCCTGGAGATTCTGAACAGAAAGTGTTGCGCAACTCTGGTCATCCAGAAGAGTATATTCAATATGTATCACATGGGGTCGCGGGTACATTCTTGACAATGTGAAGTATCACACAAGCAAAGCCATCACTTCTTACTGTAGGCTTATGTTCCCGCTGTCAGAGGGTGCTTGGATGTTTGAGCAACTTGATATGACCTGGCTCCTAAGCCTACTTTCTCTAAAAGCTTCTCTCTCTCTCTCTCTAGGATCTGTTCAAAAATCCGAAACAACATTTTAATCTACATCTTACATTCCGATCTCCAAGCTGGAAGTTGATGATGGAAACGGATAGTGCCTGCCGTGTCAGGGTGGAAAAGCCTATAAAGAAGTCTGAAACCTCATATCGAATTGAAAGAACCCATCTGCTACATCCACCAGTGGAAGGAAACCACCTGGACCCGAGTTCAAGTACCTTAGAAAATGGGCCAAACAAATAAATATATATATATATAAATATATATATATATGTGCATAAATATGTATGTATATATAGTGTATTTGTGTACTGTGTACCCATCTTCTGAGGTACATAAACTACCTCCAGGCAGTTGCTTGGAGCTCTCCTGAAACTCACCTCGCCAACTGATTCGAGCACGACAAAAGAAACAACGACTGATTTGGGTCCAAAAGACTCCGCGATGTTCGCCCCCCGCCCCGCAACTGGATTTCACAGTGAGTTTTAAGGATGGCAGAGGTTCAAGAATCCTATAGACTTGTCCTATAGGTACCCCACAAAAAACAAAAAAGAACGGGTCCCTATAGTTCAGGTCACTGGCTACCCCTGTTGCTTAGGTCACCTCTCTTTCGCGATGCGATTCTCGGCGCTTCGTCGACCGGTGGTCCTTGTCGACCACCCGGCGCCAGTCGATGGGCAACTCGCAGAGCTCCGAGACGCTGCGCTCGGGACAGGTGCGGAAGGGGCCTCGATGGGGGCGTGGCGACAGCGGTTTCCCCTGGTGAAAGAAGGTGTCTGAATATGGAGGGCGGGGTGGGGGTGTACAGGGTGACAGGCACTGAGGCCGGCTTTGGAAGGCATTTGAAGGACTGGAAAGGGGTGGAAAGAACATGGTTGAGAGGCTTGCTTTGGGCGGTTCTTAAACGCCAACCCACACCAACTGGTCACGGGAACTTAACCGAAGGTTGGACAAAAGTTGGATGAGTCTGAAAGCTGGACAACACCTTTTCAGAAAGATTGTCTCTCCGACATCACCCGCCGAGAAGGAGCATTTAATTTTATTATTGTTGAACACCTTATACAACTACTATGTTGTGCTGTAGTGGTGTTGTCTCCTCTCTGTTGTAGTTGTTTTGTCTTTTGTTGAATTGTTGGGCAATTCTGCAAACACTGATCCTCTAGTTGGAAGGGAGGATCTCACAACACAGTGCGGCTAAAACACCATCGTGCAAACAGGGACTTCATTCTACAAGTCAAATATCAAATCAAAGAGACCCCAAGTTTAGTGGAGGCTTACCTTCTGTCTTTTCGAGTTTGAATCACCGAACATGAGAGCTTCGGACGTCCTGTGTCATAGTCCCTCCCCACAACGACCTAAACGATCCTTCCATATCCTTCCTATATAAGATTGTCCTTCACACAAACATCCTCTGGAACCAAGCCGAAGCCGCGATTGGAACCAACCAACCCCCGTCGCCCCCATCGCCTAGTTTATACGTTCCGATGTGGAAGAAGAGCTGCAAATCCCCCACCTCAGATGCACAGCCCATGTGTCCCCACAGGCTGGGTCTGGGATATATTGTACAGATATATATATATAATATATATCCTCCAACTCTGTAATAAAGGATGAGAGCGCTAAATATGAGGCCTTGTATTGGAATTAGTGCATCAATGTGCATCAAAGATACATCTGAAACAGCAATCTATTCGGATTCGAGTTTTTCATCTTATTCCAATTGCTATGTGGGGTGCCTGGGAAACACACGCAGCAGGAGGATGTCCAGAAAGTTTAAAGTCAAACACTCCAAAAGGACTCCACCGGCAAAGTGGCAAAGCTGATAAAGATCTGTCATGGGCGATTTGTCTGCCATCCTCGATTCTACTCTCTCTGCCGCCCCATCCAGTCCCGCTTGGAATGATTTGTGCATACCCTTCGTTTCGGGATCCAGGCGTGATACGGAGAAGGGGCCTTAGGTGGGCCTTCGGAGATGGATCGTTCGTATGCTCGCCCTCAAAATCAAGTGGTCTTGTGGATGGCCACGCTCCGTGACCCGTGACACTCTCACATGCAAGTGGATGGCCTACCCTGTTCGGAAAGGAACATCGATGAACATCAATCTAGAAAATCCAAGGGGTTCATGCTCCAGTTCCAGGTTTGTGAGTCGGAGGGCACACCCTGTTTCACCGCAAGTACCACATCCAAACTCCATACCTCCTCAAGAAGTCTGCGAGCAACAACTTGGCGGCCGGCCACTACAACCTTGGATGTCTCATTCTTCGCCCAGCAGCCGCTTCATCGCCCAAGAATTTCAGCTGCAAAGTGCCAAACTTCGAGGTGGCCTGGAGATGCTTGCAGATGGAAGCAGGATTTCAGGCGAATGGCCGGCGAGAGGCCCAACATGGCCCAAAGTGAAAGATTTTGAGAAGTCACTCAGGATACTCAGGCCCAGGATGGGCTGTGCACGAGGTTTCTCACCATCCTGATTTTTGGGATGTCCAGCTGCGTGGTTGTACTGAAGCCGGTGTGGCATAATGTTTTCCTCCTTGGATCCCCGAAGAACTCGTTTCGGCTACTCGACTGTTTAATCATCATCAAAGTGATCTAAACCAGGTTCTAGGCATTGTAGGTGCCCGGGACCCCGTGATAGAAGGCCTTGCTAGGGGTCTGCTGCTTCTTGCCCTTGTTCTGCGAAGACCATGCTGTTCCAGCGGCAAAAATCCTCAGTTGAATCATAGGAGCAAAAGCCATGGACAGTAGCTCAAAAGCATTCAAGAATGTTCAACCCGGGGAGCTGCAGATTGGATGGTCAATGATTCTACCAGTGTCGTGTTTTTCATGCTACTCTGTGGCTTGGACATCGAATCGGGAGTATGCACAGTCTGTCGGGTTCCGGGCTGCAGTTCCCCAACAATCCATGAATGTGCTTCCTGGTGACAACAGGTGCCCAGAAACCACCTGTTGGGGTCTCCAAACAGCCTGTTGGAGGGTCCTGGTATGGAATATGTTACATTGACCCCAAACCAAACATCTTAAACACATTTAAACACTCTATATTCACCACCATTACGCCTATCGGATCCTCTTCCTCTCTTCAAGCTTACGAACCAAAACCGAGCTTCACTCGGAAATCCTCCAGGAAGTGGTTGCTCAGCTGGTGTGAGACCAAAGGGAAGCCGCCTCAGCGCAAGCTCAGCAGGCGGAAACACGCACAGCTGGCATGGCAGCAAGCGGCAAAAAAACACAGAAGGCCCCAGGGGACATGGATAGCTCAAATAAACAGGGTACGGTGCCCCCATTTTGAGCAGGGTACCATACCCCCGCAAGCACCCAGCCCCTTAGTAGCCAAATTTGTTATCAGGCCCCAGTTGTGCGCTGAAACTGCGGACACGTACGTGCCCACCATCGTCAAAGTATGTGCAGGTACCAATCTTCGGACTTCAAGGCAAAAACTTCCTGAGGCTGCCTTTTCTTTCACATAAAACCAAAATTCCCTCTTCCAAATGAGGCAAACCTAGACTAGAGTCGTGGAGGAAGATACAAACTCGACTGGATCACCTTTCACATGCGTTTCAAAATCACAATCCAGTTTAAGTTGCCGACAAGAACCCTCCTTACGTAATGCCGGTCCCATGAAACAAACACAATTTGGTCCCATGAAACGTGCAAATTCGTACAGGCGATTACTGATACCCACACACCTCCAAGTACCTCCTCAGAAGGTATTTGGACCCTCCAAACCCACCCCAAACACCTTCTCAGAAGGTACTTGGAGGGGTGCATGATACCTCTCCTCCCAAAACCCCCCAAAAGCGATCTTGAAGGCTCTCCATTTCAGGCTCCCTGCTATCGGGCGTGCCCATGCGCCGGACCAAAAAGCACCTCACCTATCGCATCCTCGGTTGATATGTTTTTAAAACACGATGTTTGCCTTCAAATCCAAGTGGCAGCTTGCCTTGAACTTGGCGTTGGGGTTCTGTACCCGCCACGTGACGAAGCTTTGGGCAGTCGTCGGGAGCAGTTCCGCCAAAGGCAGCTGAATCTTCTCCTTGGGAACTGCGGCCAAATCGGGCGATGAATGCGTGGGAAGCTTAGAACAAATCAGAAACAAACACAGTGGCATGGGCTCCACATCTGAAGCTGGTCCACAAGCTCAAAGGTTGTAAGTTGTAATCATCTTAAACACCTGCATATAGAGTCGAGTATATTTGAACCTGCATGGCCAGTAAGTGGCAGCACCTCCTACCATAGCCTAGAAACTACAACTTTAGTCTATGCTGCAAACCTCACCTGTCTATTCATTGATGATGCAGGAATGACTCGTGCAAAAATAAGGGATGATAAAGGCGTGAGTCTTCAACAGGCAAACATGTTCCATGTTAGTCATCCGTACATCGTTTGGCTTCGCTCCCCTCAGCAAGGTTGCCAGCTCCCCGCAAGGAGCGCACTCAACCCGCGTGACGTGCGGTCTGCCCTCGGTGCGGCCGCGAATCGTCAGGGATTCGCTGCGTGGGCAGCAGCAGGGGTGAGTTTTCCACACTTGAGCGTCCAGACCTGAGAATGAGGGCCCATGCCATGGGCGCTGCGCTCAGTTAGGCACTCAGAGAAGGCCCACTTGAAGCCTGGTTCAAAAACATGATCTAAAGGTCGAGTTGGACTAGTGCATCTGGAGTTCTTTCCATTAAATCATACCAATTGACGTCCAAATTGATGAGGGGAAATCCGTCGAATAGGAGTAAATCCACGTCGAAGGCGAATTTGCGCGGCAGCCAGAAACCACCCTGCAAAGGACCTAATAAGCTTGGGAAATTCCACAAGCCCACCAGGGAGTTGCTATTTCACCCAGTTGGTAGGTATCAGATTGAAGGTTGATTCAGGGAGGCATTTTGGGATATAAAGCCAGTTTACATACAGCACATAAAGGACAACGGTGAAAACCACCACACGCCAAATGGGTCTCCTCTCCGGCTGTCCGTGTTCTCGTCACCCAACTCTGAGAGCTTAGACCCCTTTTGGACTGGATTGGTCTCACCATGAGTCCAACCCAACCTTCCGGACTCCTCTCAGGCCTCAACCCCTTGCGGCCCTTCGGCTGTTTCCCCCCACCCTGCTGCCCTGGCACCTGCTCTCGGAGGCCACGGAGGGTGAGCGCGTCTCGGCGTCGAAGTTGAAGTCCTTCAACTTCAGCTCCTGATGACTGCGACCAGCGGTGTGCTTGCGGACGCAACGAACAGGCAGGCTTCTATCCATCCATCCCTCCCTCCCAATCTATCCATCCATCCACCCATCCATATCTATAATATCTGTATATATATATATATATCAATGTACACACACATATATATATATTTGTAGCGAGGTTGATTTTTGGCGCAGTTTTGGAATGGTGGAGAACAGCAGAATGCAGAATGAGGATTCATGGTATACATCGTAGAGTATATGTCAGTATATCTGTAGATGGCACTTAAGGTCAATTGCGTCTCAGTTTCACTTGAAGCCTCCGGCAACTAAACCTGCCCATATCAACTGCAGGTAAGCCTCATTTAAGATGCACTCCAAGAGGGCAGCACTCGCCCCTCCAGCTTGCGCCTGTGCGTTTGCCATCGCTTATCAAGGGTATTTGGTTGGACTCCAGGATACGACGGCCTGTGCAAAAGCTGAGGCGCTGGTTCGAGCCGCAGTGGCTGCCATTGGTTGAGGCCTATACAGGTATCTCCGCTCAAAACCTTCGGGAAACAAAATTAAAAGTCATTCCACTGTTCCTTCTGGCATCTCTAAGAAGGAACCACAGCTTGTGTAAAACACGGAAGACGTGTCATTGCCAAACTGATGACTCTGTCTCAAGTCCCTTGGTTCATGGTCTAAAAACACTCCAAGCTAACCGCAGCTAACCTGCCAAACCGATGATCTGTCTCAGATCGCTTGGTTTGGTTCTCTCATGTTGTCTCTTCCCTTTCGACCAATTGAGTCAAACCTCTTCCACACTCCGCCCCGCTCTTCCCGCTGCGCTCGACCTGGTCGTAGATGAGGCATCCACGCGCAGCTGGCGGTCGAGCGACGAGCTAGGCGGGCGCTCGGCTGCTGGAGTGGTGGACCGTGCACGGAGCAACACCCCAAGGAATACCACCTGTATGAAATAGATGTCCAAAATGTGTCACGTGGAATCAAAAGGAAGATGAGTCTTGTCATCGAACATCATCAAATCAAACCCTTGTGAATCGTTCGAGCAAGCTGTCAGTCCACCAATGAGACCCGTCATGAGCAACCGGTCAGTGACGCCTTCTCTCCGTTTGGAGGGCCAACGAACCACAAATTCCTACATCCTATCACAACGGGTATCAAAATGGATTCTAAGTATATTATCTTGTTTGGGTGTATACCTGCCCACAAAAACCTAACAAGCCTCTTAATTGCCTGTTACTTGGCATAATGTTCAGCTGATGGTTCCTCCTCCTTCGCGCCCCGGATGCAGGGAGGCTGTCCGGACATTGGACACACCAGACACCTGTGCTTCCGGACATTTGGCCATAATGCCCCCACGCGTCCGCGGCGTACAGACCGGGGTGATGGTTTCATACCTCACATGACTCGTTTCACCGCACGCACGGAGCCGGGGGAGGTATGGAAGGGCCCAAAGGGCCCGATCTCGAGAGGTGCGGCAGCAAGTGGGTGTTTCCGATGTTCCCTGGTCATGCCAACAAAAGGAAGAACACATGCAGAAACATCGCTGCATCATGACGAACACTAACCATACACAAAAACCAAAGCCACCAAAGCCTAGCATGAGGGCACAGCAAGACAGAACTACTAGGCAGGAGGCATTTGTACAAAGGCTTCAATGCAATAGCATATTTGACAGCGCCCTGACAGAGCTTGGTGCACCAAAAAAAACAAACAAGAAAAGAAACAGCATGAACAACGTTGTTTGAACAAATGATGAACACATCATCAATGTACTGTAATTGATACAACACCCTTTCCCCTCAAGGTGATTGGGAAAAAAACTAGGTCACCATGTTAGTTAAATGTGTAATCCTTCACTGGTGAAAAAAACATTCCAAGGTAACACTCAAATACAATCCCTCCTCCAACACATGTAAATTAGACAAGTGGAAAACCAGTGTCTTTCCTTCTGGTAGCGGAACTTGGATCACTTCCACTGCTTCCACTTTCTTATGTTGGATTAAAGGACCTCGGCTCGGATTGACCTTGCAAAAGGGAATGCTACTTACTACTGGACCACAGTAGTGGTCCACTGGCTGCAGTTATCACGGTCCTGCATGAATCCTAAAGGCTCTGGGAATGGGAGAATTTCTGTGAGCACCGAAGCTCCCGCGACCAAGCGGAACTGAAAAACAACACACTGATGGCAATAGTTATGATACACACCTGAACACAATAGCGATGGCCTCCGGCCTACTAGCGATGGCCTCCAAATAAATAGCGATGGTCTCCAACCTAATAGCGCAATGGCACTCGCAATGGCCTGAACCTACAGAATAATAATCCGATATTTCATGATATTTCCCAGGTCTGGTGTTCTGGATGAATCTTCTGGCTTCAGGAGTGTGTAGTGACCTGATATCCAATCCACATGACCCCTCGGTTTTCCCGGAAAATAGAGTAGAGACTTACCATGGTTCAACTGTTCCGATCTCTTTACTTTAGGGAAACAACTCATCAATCAATATCAATCATACAACAAGAATCCAAAAAGAATCCAGCCTCTGACCGACTCTGTCAGTTCTTCATCTACTCAAGTGAGTGAGCTACCTGAGCTACCCACCTGAGCTACCCACCTGAGCTACCCACCATGCCCACCCGGACGTACTACTTTTATCTACCCGCTCGTGGGCCAACCGCCCCCCAAAAGCCCCTAGTAGCTTCTTTGTTACTAGTAGCGATGCCCTTTGTTCCTACTAGCTTCTTGCTCCTAGTAGTAAGGCCAGGAGCCCCGATCTTAGCGTCCTTTGCTACCAGTAGCGGCAGTAAGCCCAGGTGCTGGCCAACCGCCGGCCAGTTCTTCTTGGAGTTGTGATCGTCCCGAGCAATGCGGCTGAACCTCACTTCTGGCAGTCCACAGCTCTGGCGGAGCGTGGATGCCGCAGCCACCCAACGGCCCAACGGAGCATGGATTTCGGTGAACGAATTGGCGTTCAAAAAAGGATCTTCAAATGAGCAGGCTATGGGGCTATGGCATGCTATGGCTAGAGTCCTGGCTTGGAGATGAGATAGCTGATTGTTCAGTGCCAGCGGCACCTTGCTGTGAAGTTTGGTGCATTAAACCCAGGTAGTAACAAGCGCACGCTATTAGCAACAAGGGCATTGTTTCTAGTAACAAGAAACTGCTAGTGTCTTACTGAGATTCAGTATTGTCTTTCCTGTCCAACAAGGTGAACTTCCTGTGAAGCGAAGTGGACTTCGTCTCCGAGATACATAGAATAGATCAAATCCTGCATCTGGTGCCAGGAAGTTGCATGAATGATGAGGTTGCTTGCCTTCTCACCTAATGAAACAGTTCTACTCAGCCCTGCATGTTTGTTTGAGTCTCCTTCGCCCCCCGCAAAAAAATAGAATGTTTAATCATGGAAGTGGTATAGGTCCTCTTCTTGACTATCAACATTGGAACATATTGGAACCACCTGAACCACTGCCCTTGACGCTCCGGCCCTTGGACGGTCCAGCCGGGTAAACCCTCAGGCTGCCACTGCCCCAAGGGCGCCTTTTGGCCAAAAGGCCTCGTGTCTCGTCCGCGCGGCCCGTCGTCGTGCGGTCGTGCGGTCAGTGCGGCGGAAGCGGAACTCGGTGGAAAGACCGTCGTGAAACAAAGGATTCACTGAGAAACATCACGGATGATCGTTTTTTGCAGATTCCCTTGAGACTTCTCGTGCTAATTTGGATTAAGGGTGATTATGGTGAGAAAAGACGTTGTTGCTCCATACAAAATCCAGCTTGTTGAGCTGCAACGATTAGGTGCACTGGGGATGGTGTGCTCTATAGTCTATTGTTATCTTCATTCTAACTCTAGGATGTTTTATGTTTCCACTCGGCTTTAAATGGTTTTAGGAGTTATGTGTGTGTGTCCATTTCACTTTTGTCACGAAAGTATTGTCTTTTTCTTACAACCATTCCTTGTGAACATTGCTGTCATCTCAAGCCTTGCCAGCTCTGCCAGGCTGTTGGAGGGTTGTTTTATGGGTCTTTAGCTACTACTGTAGTACTACGTTCAGGTGAAACTGGAAGGGAGCTGCTGAATATTGGAGTGACTGCTTTGCTGGAAACAGTTACTTGTTTGCTGTGTCGCTGTCCTAAAAATTCCTAAAAGCCTGGGCCAAGTCGACGTGAGAGGTGCTTAGTATTGAGACGTCTGAAACCAGACTATGGCACCCTAACATGCCCTTCCAAAAGCTGCATCTGTCCGAAACCTTGTCAAAATTATGTTTGGTGCATCTTCTAAACCACATGTAATTTCTTCGGCCCAGTGGAAGGCATTCTAAATGGAACTGTTGCCACTACTGTTGACTTGCTGAAGCTCTGTTCCCTTGACTCTGGGCGTCCAGCTTCCCTTCTTTGTTGTAATAGTCTGGACCAGGCAACTTTGCATTCTTCTTCACCTGCGGTTCCGCAGGTTTTTCGAGACCACGTTCCCCTCGTCCGGGAATGGATGAAACAGTCACCCGTCAGCGTCGGTGCGCCCAACGCAGGACTTGGAAGGAACACATGACAGCGAGGCTTCTGAATATATGCCAAACGCTCCCAGGGACTGCCAAAATGGCCTACATGACTGGTGGATTTGGGTGGTGAATGCAGGGCCATATTTGCTTACATGGAGCCTTAGGGTATGGACATTGGATGAAATAGGTCCCAAAATCGCACACAACTCAAGATCAGCTGTGGTCTGCCGCAAGAAAGGTGCTCATCGTACATCGTCGGATTGTGCATCCTGTTGTCCATCCCAACCGCTCCGGTGCCTCAGTGAACAAACTGCCAGCCTCATTGGACGCCTGTGCTGCGTCAAACGTCAGTGGATGATCACTTCTTGCATGTTACACATCGTCATGGTCGAGGCAAGGGTCAAGCTCATCCATTGTGGTTAATTTCCTTTTCTAAGTACATTGCCTGCTGTGGACTCATAAAGTGAAACATAAAAGGACTCACTTGTGGTGCACTTGGGCACTCCTGCAACAACCAGTGGTGGAGCTACTTTTGGACCCCAAAGCCATGTCCTTGATCGGCGGCCAAGCAAGCTCTGGTCAAACCCTAACACACACCTTTTGTCACCTGCCAGTGCCCATCGATGCTGATAACAACCATAGTAAAGTAAATCATACTCGAGATATATCTGGGAGTGCCAAAAGTCAGATCAAAATATACACATCTGGGGATGCAGCATGAGTCAAGAAAACCACAAACACACTAGGGTAAGAATAGCCCATTTGGTATACCCATGTTCATCTTCCTCACATAAAAGTGAAATCTATAGTGCCACGGAGCTATTTATAGCCAAGATGAGCTTACAGTTCACAAGCAGCCTGAAGCAGGACCGCTTGGTGGTTTCAACCAACTCGCTGGAAAATCTTAGTTAGTGGGTTCAATCATCCCAAGTGAAGGCAAACAAGTTTAAACAAAATATCTGAAACCACCACCCATATTCACCCATAAAGTTGCTCATGTGTCCTATTCATGCTTGCCTTTGGCATGGTTCCACCGTGTACTGGCCCTTCTGCACCGCATTTGGGGACGTGGTACCTGCAACGAAAGAACGAATGACCTCGTCGACCCATCGGACGTACTGCAAGGCATTAGGCAACGACCAATCTTTCTGAAGTACTTTAGCCTCTAAGACTATCCTCAAGAGGTACCTGGAGCCTATGGCTAAGTCCAAATATTGCTTTTTGAGCAATCCATGCAAAATGTCTCACAAGGCCCCATCTCACGCAGCCTACAAATCTTTACAAGAAAAAACGATCATACAAAGGGGTGCTCAATCGAGGTTAGGGGTGCCCATTATCCACTCACGTGGGGACTAAACACCACCCCTTTGTGACTCCTGGCAGTAACACCGAAACCCCAAGTCGCTCCCCAACTACATGGCTGTGGGGAACTGGCGAGACCGACTGGGCACGACCGCCTCAACATGAACTGCCCTTGACGAGTTCACCCCCCCTTCCAGCTGGAACTGGCTGTTGCGGAACATGGGGGGCCTGTGCCATCCAATCACGAATGCATCATAATGTATAGACAGTTGAGGCTGTTGAGCAATAAAACTCTCCAGAATAATTGCGATGAAATGCCATGTTCATAGCAGTATACAACAGTTTTATCATCAGCAATCGACAGTAGACCATCCAACCTGTTCTTCCCTGAATCGATATGTTCTTGGAGCAAGTCCCTCAAAAAGCAGCGAAGCCAGCGCACGCATCCAGCGCGAAGCCGTTCTCCATGACTGGTCTGGTCGTAGCCGACAGTAAAGAAGGATTCAGGGTTTTGTGGGGGGTAGGCAGCTGCCTGAACCCTTCATGTGAGGTTGATCCACTCCGACTTATCCGTTCGATACCAAATGTAGACATGTTGAGTTGAGCTAGTTCAAGATTATTGAAACAACACCAAAACTGATGGGATCCTGAGTCAGGGTCGGACGCCCGAATTGAGCAAGCTTTCCCTGTGCCACCCAAGCGTGTGGAGCAATGTTGCAATACAAACGAAGGATTGAAGGAACCGAGCAGGGCCCAAAGGTAATCAGTAGTAAGTAATACTAAACCAAACGTGTGCATGTCTCAAAACGACTCCCAAATCTCTGGGGTGTTCAGATCCGCATTCTCTTCCATCTGTTAGTTTAGGCCCGTCTCTGAGACATGCGGTCGTGTTTTTGCCAGTTGTGCCTCAGGCTTCCGAAACAACTTCAAAACTCACACCAGAGAAGATCAAGTTAAAACACTGACACCGTGTCGATCGAATCAATCCGAGCAGTGGAAACAACACACATGTTATAAATATATATATATATATAAAGCATTGGTTGCTGGCAAACATACTCTTTCTCAACTTTGCATCAACCTCAACATGTTTGTCGATTTTGAGGACCTCAAACCTCAAACGTTATCTTCTTCGGTTCTGAAGAACTTGCCGGCTTTGCGACAAAGGCTCCCACTGTTTGCAAGGCTGATGTTCAGCTCGCGAACCAGACCTTGCTCGTTTGCTCGAAAAAAGGTTCCAATGTGCTGCAACTACCAATGATTACCAATGATTGCCAAATAGTTGTTTCCTGTAACAAGAAACATGCTTATACATACTATACCGTATATTATGCATAATTAGTACAAATCATTGCAGTAAGCAATGCCCTTTGTCTTTGCTTCAGCAACTTGCTCATCTGGCTGTAAAAATGAAGGTGATACAAATGCAATGCAGCTATCATAAAATTGAACATCCTCAACGGAAACTTCAATGTTCACTGAGTTTGGAGATGAATCTTCCAACTCCTCCGTATTCACATGTTCCTGGAGACTCGCAGGTTGTCCGCCCATTCCGATTCCGCTGGGCGTCCCTAGCCAGTTGAGACGCGCTACTTTTGGTTCGCAATCCGTTTCAGCCCGGCAGCGGAGGTGACCAAGAGATTGATGCATCAACATGCTTTCCACTTAGACTAGCCTCTGCTGGTGCTGGTGGTTGGTGGCGCTAGAGAGTCACAGTGCCCAGTGGAGCGCAACAAAGAACATGCAATTGTCAACAAAACACGTGAGCACTTTGAACATGTTTGGCTCATTTCTATCTATTGGTGGTCATGTTTGGGGATCTTTAAACAAATCCCATGATAGCACGGTCCCCTCCGCAAACAGCCTTGGCAGAGCCGGTCCCCAACTCAAAGAACTGGCAAGAAGTGAGGCTCAACGACATGCCCATATCACTTGGCTTTTTACAGCATTACAGCAACACATTGAGCATCGTTGACACTGTTAGACAAGAAATTGAACCGATTACTGCACCATCAGGCGCCCATGACCTTAAGATCTATGGAACAACATGTTGTGGAGGTCCTTTTTCTCCAACAGGAATCGATCCCAAAGGCAACTTTGCCAACTCTTCCATATCTAATTCGATACGGCCCTAATACTTACATTTCAATATATATATATATATTGACTTAGTCAGCAAAAGCTGGAGGAAAACAACAGCGTGCCTGGATTTTCGTTTCGCTCAGCTGTGTCAGGGCGCGTTTCACCCGTTCCAGCGTGGCCATGCGCGGTGCGCGGCCTGGGGCGAAGCGGACTTGGAGGAGGTGGATGGTCCATGGAATGACCCAAGAGGGTGCACTCATCAAGATCTCTTTAGGTATGAAATCCCAAGAGGGTGTCCGGCTGTGACAAGAAAGGAAGGGTATATTCGTATTAGATATATAACTAGAGCACCATATAAGTGTATGAACACCAGCCGTTTGAGTTGGACCACCTGAGGATTGGAGGTGAACATGCACTTCATAGAGTAGGGACAATCCATATGGCCTCCAACCTAGTCCCATCGGATGATGGTGGAAATCCCAAACGGATGTCCATGGCATTCCATCTTGAAGCGATCTGTGGGTCACGGGCAGTCACTGTACGTTTGCGATTACACAGCCCTTGTCCTTGTCCTTGTCATCAATACTGGGGAGAAGGCCATACTGTGTGAAAGGCCTCCGTTTGTATATCTGAATCTGAGAAGGCCTCCGAAAACGGCCGACCCAGCAGCTGCCTGAGTGTTCGTCTTCTTCCGCTTGATCAGCAGCTTCCTCTGCCAGGGTGTGGAACTTCATCGCTTCTTCCGCTTTGGACTTCTCCTCCTGGGGAAGCGGTGCCATCGACCCCCCCGAACCTTGGGATGGGTCTATAGGATCCATGATGTGCATGAGGGACGCAAGCTTCGGAGGGATGTCAAGTGACCTGGACCATGGAGGCCTTTGAGATTGACATCTGTTATAGTGGATCACACATAGGTCTTTTAATAGGTGTTGACCGTATGCCATCTACGTATGATCCACTATATATCAATGACAATGGTCACATATTATGTTTACCCATGTTCTCCTGATACAAAGCCTTCTCATCCATCAGCTGCTGGGAGCATCGAGAGAATTCCGCTGCCAGACGATCTTTGATCTGTTCCAGGCGGGCCAGTTCCTTCAGCAACTCAGAGGAAAGCTCTTCTGCTGCGAGTCCTTACAGTAGCATTCATTTCGAACATGAGCAAATCATTGAACAGGTTGATGAGACTCAACACATATCATATGATTCAACGATGTGCTCCTGAGAAGCAGCTGTAATTGAACCACGCATGAAAGTTTGAGCTTCCAGTTCACACTCAAAATGCTAATCCACATGGATTCTGCCGGTTTTGAGTCTTCTGCCTGATGTGCCCTGATTTCGTGAACTGAAGCATCATGGTCAAGCTAGCCATCCACCTCCCATGAAGAGCTTGGTCGATCTTCAGGGTGGGGGACTCCCAACATCCCAAGCAAGTACCTCGTGGATGTCTTTAGTATATAACCTGGTGGACAAATCCCAAAGAAGCTGGGTGCAAAACCCCACAGGATTCAGGTCTCTCCAGATCAAGGACTGATTACACGTGGTGCCGAGTCCAGAAGCTCTGCCCCCGGGGTCTCAGCTCCAAGCTGAGGCTGTTGCCTCAGGATAGCCGAGGAACCTTTTTCGGAGGCCTCTTGAATCTGCGAGAACTCTGCTTCAGTCTCCTCCACCAACGCCTGTTGCTCACATGACTCGTATGGACCATTGTTGCAGGCCATGAGAAGCTCAACTACCAGGGGTGTGGATGGAGCCCAATTAGGGAGACCTCCCAGACGCATCCGAACCCTCTGGGTTCGGTTGAAACGGACCAGAACAACCATCCAAAAACCTCCCTATTAAAATACACCTCCAACATGAGCCACATGACCCAGAAACATCTAGAAAGTGTTGACGTGCCGATGAACTGGTGATCCAAGGATGGCGAAACCGGTCCCAGCCGTAGGACGTCGATGGGAATGCCGATGGTGTCTGTCTGGATGCCCGTCCGGCTTGGGGGGTGACCCTCGCGGGCCCCTGAAGCCCCAAATGACTGGGAATGGCCTACAGGGCCTAGAGGGACCTTTCTCAGCCACAGGCAACTTGGTATGTCTTCTCGGCGCCTCATGCAAGCTTTGGAAGCAAAGGTGGAAACTTGAGACCAAACCTTTCAACTGGTTGGCTGGAACAAGCACCACTTGCTATGAGCGATACAACAAGCACCTCTCCACTGGCTATGACCAACATTCTGGTTGTGGTTTCTAGAAACTTCCGTGGGAACCACGTTTGCACCGACGGAAATCCCCATGCACCGACGTTTGGCACCGACTTCGTCGACATGGAACGACTCGCTGCCTTCTCTATCACCTCCAAGTTCTCGAGTCGTTCCGCCTCAATCTGCTCCTCCTGTCGCAGCCGCTCCTCAAGAACGAAGCGACGAACGAGCGAAGTATGAGCCAACTACTTCCAAGTAAGAACACCGTCTACACCAAACAAACTCCAGTTGTTGCCTATGTGGCCTATGTGGGCCATTGTGGGCCTATGTCATCTGATCAGCTAGTAATCTTGCACAACCCGTCTTTATTATAAGCTCACTCGTGGCTAAACATAAACGCTACAAAATGCTACAAATAATTGGCTTTAATAATGCTGTTACGGTGTTTTTTCCCAAAGATCAAACATTGCATTTGTGGTAGCAGGATTTGAGCACATGCTTCCAACCCTTGACTTTGCCTTTTTTGATTACCGTGGCGTCCTGTCCTCTCACTGAAAGATGCCTCCGGCAAACACTTAGGCCATTAACTTGGCAGCTTAGGCCGTTTGAAAATACAGAACAGCATCAAACAACTTCACACCTCAGGTCAACAAATCCACCAACGAACGCCACTCACTCCGTGTCGCGCCCCTCTCCAAGGCTCCAACTCCGCTCGCAGGGCCCGCCAGCGCCGCGGGCCGCCGGTTCCGGCCGTTTGGGGCGACGACGCGTCGGCCGTGCGGCGCGGGGCGTTGAGCCGCTCCAGTGTTTCGAGCTCCGACATCAAGGCACTCACCACGGCGCCAGCCGTGTCGGTCGGATCAGCGCCTGGTGCGCCGCTTTTTGGAGCGGTCTGGTGACGGTGACCCTCCCTGCGATGGATGGCATGGTCCTGGGAGAAAGACCATAGAAAATCCTCATACCAATTCATACCAAACAGATCCAAACAGGAGTTTTCAGATATTTTCAGTCCACTTCCAGATTTCATGTTTGTTGGGGAGGGTCAACAGATCCTCAGACTACAGGATATTAGGCTTGGCACGCAATCTTGTAGATGTGATTGAATACAAACCTGACCTTGAGACAAGGGAGGGGGTCATGCCAAGCATAGATCCATTTACACTCCCTGAAGTAATCGAAGTGGAAATGGCCCTTTGGATGACTTTTCCCTATAAACAGGTGGTGAACTCCACTTCCATCTTACTCCGAGTGTATTTCTCTCAGCCTTGGGCTGTGTGGACATCAAAACCAGCCTTGGGCGACCTCAACACCTGGGGCTCTGAGACCAACCGTGTCAGGCGATGACTCTTCCGCGCCATCGCACCGGACGTGGATGGTCGTCATGGATCGCTGAGGGTTCCCACCTTCGAGCATGAGATGCTTGTAGCAGGAACTCGAAGGCATGGACGAGACACTGCTGTTGTCCTTCTCCTGCACTGGGGTGACGGATATGCAGGTCAACCCCCAGTCCAACATCTGGTACATTGTAAGGTGAATTGCAAAGATTGAAACCCCAAACGGGTGATTCAAGGGGCTAAGGGGGCCGTGATCATCTCCGTGGTCTAAGTGGTGTCAAGGAACCCAAATGCGCTCGGTTGTTTCTGCTAGAACCCACCAGGTGCAAGTCCTTTGCTTTGGGTTGGTGAGTGTTGTGGGTATTGAGAGCTAAATGTGACTTGCTTAACACAACCGATGTTTTACACATTGATTCCCAGGCCATCCAACTCTTCCTCAAGGAATAGTCTGTTTTGGAAGAACACGTTTCAAACCCCAACAGGAAAACAGCTAGTGCCTCACTACCCATCGCAAAAACACTATACATTCCTATTTCTGCCCTTTCAAGGGCTTCATTGACAGCCCAGGTGAAGTCTCGGACAGCCCCCCTCCCTCCTCGGACAGCTCGGCTCCGGAGACCAAGGCATAAAGGGACAGATTTCGCTGGGTCTCCATGATGAGCGCGTCCAAATCCAAGGGATCTAAACGTTCCACTAACTCTTCAGGCTTCAGTAGCTCCACTGCTTGGCCTACCTCTGGCGCGTGTCCACGCGAAGCTGGGCGTGCGGGCACGATCTGAGCTGGCCCCGGAGCTTGTCGAGCTGGCACAGGTGTTGGGCGGTCCTTGGCACAGAAAACATCGAATTCGAAAACATCTGGCAGTGGTTTCGCAGAAACGGCGAGTGTGAGGAATTGATGTTCTTCCTCCAAAAGGGGAATTGTGGAAGTGTAGAACATACCCACCTACCTTGCCTCTTTGTTACACATCCGAAGTTGCATCCACCCTGACCAGTAAATTATAAATATATATATATATATTACCGTTGATACCCATAATACACATAATATATATAGTACAAGAAACACTATTATATATATATATATGTGTTTGTTGTAGAAAACAACAACAACGACAACTGACAACAGCAACAACAACAACAACCACAACCACAACAACAACAACAACAACAACAACAACACTTTGGACATCTTTGGACCCAAATGATCCCTTGTGCCTGCTACTCTGCCCTTCCATGTTGCATAGAAACCGCCTGAAACTGCTATTCTCTACCCACCTGAGGAAGCCGTCCTTGCAACCATCGAACACTAGAAAATATCACCTTCCAAAAACAATGCCACCTTTGGATGCTACGGAATGGCCATCTTACCAAATTAGGGGGCCATAATTTGCTTGTTTCACCTGTAGAAACTGCAGTGATTCATTGCTTTGTAGATTGGTGTACATTCACATTCTCAGCGTGAGTGAGATACAAATCTTCCTCTATAGAAGACATTACTCTGAGTCATACCCAAGGGGTCCTCCAGGAGGTGTGGATCGCATGCTTCGCCATCAGAGGAGCACCGTTTTCGACACCCACTCTTGAGTTTGCTACCTTGGGAGGTTCTGGACCGTGCTAATGATGCTCTCATATGCTGCTCTACCACCTGAAGCCCCAAAAGGTCCTGTCAATACCCTTCTGGTATCCTTTGGTAGAGAGTCCTGAAAAGACAGGTTCTACCGACTACCGACATACTCGAATCAAGTGGCCAATCGAGGCGGTGCGATGGGCGGCTCCTCCACCTGTCGCTTTTCTTAGGCAAGGGCAAGTCGTTTCAACCCGGATCCTTCCAATGTCACAACGGGTTCCTTCAGCCTCTTGGCCAGACCTTAGTACCTGGACTCTCAAAGTACCTCGGCAAATGGGTAGAAGCACCTGTCTCTAAGGTACTTTGGAGGTCCAGATACCTTCTGCTTCCAAAGCCTTTGGCTGTCGTAGCTGGACCTCTGGGGGTCACCATTTCTGTAGCTTGGTGGGTAGGTATTCTGGCCTGGCAAGAATATACAAAAAAACAGCACATAACAGCACTAAAAGCACTGTAGAAAAACTGCATGTCTTAAGGAGACCTAAAGGACATGAAGATTTGAATAGAAACTCCTGAACCATCAGCAACGTCTGAGAATTCAATGGCAGATTGATGTAAGAATGGCCCCACATTCCGAGCTGTCAGAACTGAGGCAGTTTGGAGCAGAAGTTCCAGTGTCTTTCCTTCACACAAGACTGGAGGCAGTTTCTTTCTTGAGTCTAAGGCTAAGGTAGTGTATTGATTGATAAATCCCCGCCCAAAACTTGGGTTATAAATGGTCCTAAAACCACTTCACACCACACGCGCACACGTCGAGTCATATAGTCCCAACTAGTGTATAGTGCCGGCTGCATGCCCCAGCACGACAAAGAAAACCAAATAGAAAAGATATGGGGGCTATGGGGGTTTGAAATATACTTCGAGAGTCTACAATTCCGATTTTTCAGTTTCCTTCAGAATCTGCAAGACCAACGCCTTCTCCTCTTGAAGCTTCGCCCGCTCGAGCGGCTCGAGCGGCTCGACCGGCTCCAGCTCCGGCTTCGCGCCCAGCAGCTGCGCGTGGGCGGAGAGCCGCTCGGCCGCGGAGGTGAGGGCACCCAGCGCCTCAGCGAGCTCGAAGCTCTCGGGCTCGGCCTGGCGACAGAAGGCCGCTTCGAGCGGGTGAGGAAGCGACCAATCAGTGCTGGTTTGGAAGATGAAAGGGATTGGTGCTGATGTTGATGGTGTCTTTTGGTTTGGTGTGGGGGAGATCTGGTCTTGTGTTCAAAGCGTCGTTTCAGTGTTCAAAGCTCAAAGCGAAGAGCGAGTTACCAAATAGGTGTCTTTTCTGGGCCCATCTTAAACTAACAGAACAAGACGCAAGGGGAAAGGAGCCAACTGATCACTCCTGGATTGGAGGCGAAACACCCAGCCGGTCACCCTTGCTCAAACACATTGAAGCACCGGACGACGCCAGGTTGGATGGTCCTCCGTTTGTGGCTTCGGTCGCTCTCGGAAGATCGCCTGGGGCAGCTTGGCGCTGTCAGATCTCATGGCATCACAAATCTCCTGATTGGCATCCTTGGTTGCAGGATTGGGCAGAATGAGGGGTTCAAGGATTGACATGTTGGTTGCACAGAACTGTGAAGCAGCCTTGACTGACAGCCTAGAATGGCTCGAGTCCCCGTGTCTGGCGATTTCCGGTAGACAATGCTGCTAAGCAAGTTGAAGCCTCTGCAAGCCTTGAGATGTTGGCCTCCAACTGCCAGAGTTTCTGAAGCAACTCATTCTTCCAGGATGAATCAACTTCATGGTTTGCTCTTTCAGCTTGCGGTGGGCTCCCCCATGGCATCTGAGGCGGATAGGGCATGGGTGGCATCACGGGAAAGGGCATGGGCAGCACATTCATGGGATTTGCATAGGGAGATCCATGCATTAAGCCATTCTGATGCTGTGGCCGGTGAGGTGTCTTGCCATCCATCGACTCCCAGCGCACGGCCTTGCCATCTTCTCCTTGGTGAAAAGGATCAGGTCACAAAACCTATATGCAACATACACATATATAAATATATTATATATATATATACATGTCCAAGTCTCCATCACACACACACACATCTCTCTGGTGAAACGAAGGGACCCGGGACCCGGTCATGGATGTCCCCAGTGACCCACCGCCCGCCACACAGCTTCACCGGCCGAGGTGTCGGTAGGACGGTCGGGTTGCTGGCAGCCACGGTCGCCGGAGGAAGACCAAGGTACTGGATGCATCCGGGTGTGTATTAAAGTAGGGAGACCTCCCAGATTGACCCCTGGAAGAGGGAAAATAGATCAAATACATTATATGGAAGGTCCACCTATAAAAATACAAACCCAGCTGTATTGATCCCAAGACACTTATGGAATGTATACCTACATTGAGGTACTCGATCCCCACCCCAATGTGGGTAAATATTCCATACATGGATTGTTTGGGATCTGTATGCCTGCGAAACATGGCACGAACAGAGTTGGTCTTCCAGTTGATCCAATCGCCGTCGCTCTATCATACTCTTGCCGTCTCTATTCTTGTTCACCCCCACATCCGATTCTGGCCTGTGCCATCTTTGTTCTCGACAGCTTGAATAAGCGCAACATTGAAAAACAAGAGGCCACGTCTCGCCGTGGAAACAGCGAGCCCAACGACATGTGGATCCAAGCTTCCCTTGGGCTCGCCTTTGGGCACCTGACAGGTTAACTGCATTGCACAATATTGCACAACGAATCCACACAGGTTGTATTTGTTCACCAATTACTTTGCGGATTGACCACCAATTGGCTCAGGATCCAGAGATCTGCAAACTGGATGTGCCGGTGCAAGATCCTTCAAACCTCAAGATCCATCGATCTCTCCTGCCAATCTCTGCCCGAAAACCCCAGCCTCCTTGGGTGACTCTGGCGCGACCTTCTCGCCGTCCTTTGCGTCTTCTCGCGCCCGTCCGCGCGGTGGACTCGCGCGGCCGGGTCGAAGTCCAGCGCGCGGCGGTTCCGCATCGGCGCGGGTCTTCCGTGGCAGCTCGAAGCTGAAGGTCCACTTCGCAAGGCCCAAGCGGATCACATCGCCATGCTGCAGAAGCACTGCATTCAGCGGACCAGGTCGCAAGCGAACACCGTTCACAAAGGTTCCATTGCTAGAACCCAAGTCCAAAAGCTGTGGGCCCTGGTGATCAAAGTACCTGCAGGTCGATGTGAGAGTGCAATTAATTGGTGTTTTCTGTGTTGATCAACTATAATATTACAATATTGCATATAAAAACACACACTATATACTGTATATATATATATATGGTGAATATATATATATATATGGTGCATATATGGCAAGGCACAGGAGCGTCTGTTGAAACGTATTGTTAACAAGAAGAACCTTTTAAACATGGTTCTCACTTTTGAGCGCAGGAACAAACATCGGTTGCTTGACACAGCGATGAACAACTATGTGTTTCAGACTTCAGGCATACCCAAATGCGCCCAAGCCCCACAATCCAGAGGATCCCAAACCGGGCCGTGTGGCAATAGAAAACAAACAATAGAAACATATAGTATCATAATATAATGTATTGTACATATTATGACTTAACACACCTCCCTTGCAGTTTACAAGACGACAGTCACTTCTTGCCAGTCCAGAGAGGACATATGCATCCTCGAGCTTTAGCGAGTTGAATCCAAGGTGCAAGCGCGCGTGGTTCCGTGAGACACCGCGGCCATCCAGCACCAAGGAACACTCTTCTCCACGACCGATGGTCGTTTCTGCTTCCTCCAACTGGTATACCTTATGAAGTGTCGGTCCCCGTTTGGGGCGAGAAGCAAACTAGAGTGATTGATGCAATGTGGCTGTGGGTCAAAACCCGGGAACCCTGGTTGACCACTAGTGGAGATCAACCTGCCAGGGATTACGCTCTTGCGGACCGAGTTCGTCGCTTCCTGCGCATCCCTTGCTCATATGAGGGGTGTGGTAGGAGTAGGAACCTAGCATCTACCGGATTGTGAACACAACCATCGCAAACTGTGTACACGCGGTATCTCGCATGGAAGACAAATTAATTAGTACTAGTAGTGTGAACATTCACACACAAATCAACTACAGGTGGCCAGGACAATAGACAAATATCATCGAATATCGAGGTTTGCTCGGTGATGCCTGCGTAAATGTTCATGAATTTCAAGAATGTCCTATTCTTTACGGAAAGGTGGTTCTGGCAAGGCTTCTATACGAAGATCCTTGGGCGTGCATTCGTGTGGAAGGAGGGCTTGACCTTGCTGGAAATGCAGTATGTGGATGTACGCGGACGAAGACCAGCGCATTAGGCAGTTGAGACATGTACGCGGCGAGGCCAGGGATTAGTGCTGCCTTGACCCACAGCGTGGTCAGCAGGCATGCCACCAAGCATGCCCTGGACAGCCTTCAAAGGGGTTCGTAAACGATACACCGATGTGGCCTTGCAAAGACATAATTTCATTTCAACCGAAGGCCGTGGGACCGTGCCACTACTTGGTGCTCGTACGTACCTGGCTTCTGGGGGATACGTTGGGTCTGTCCAAGGCTCAAAGGAGGGAGACTGGTAATAGGCCTCTCCGGTTGGTGCTAAGTGACCCGCCAAATAACATGTGATATCATTCGATGAAATTTGTCCGACTTGGAAGTCATCACTCAGCTTCAACAATGCAATTTGAAGATATTTGAAGCATCGCTTTGAACTCATTGAGATGTATACCACCCATGCAGCTGTCCGAGGGGCCACGCCCGAGGCACGCAGGAAGCCGTAGACATGTTCTGGAGGCTCCGCCATGGATGGCGATGCGAAATGAGGGAGTTTCTTGGCTGTGAAGCTTCGACCCAGAAGTAAGGAGATGAAGGGTAACTGGAAGACCCATCACTTGTCGGAGTCTGTTATTTTTTTCTTCAGATCTGCATCGGTTGGGAAGACTATTGGCAATCAAGGCTGAAGCAACCAAAAGTGGGTACTCTATAGTGCTGCGACATCTCCACTTGGTGTAACACATGTTTTTCCTGCTTTGGGTGTTCACAGCGGCTGCTTGCGCATCTTTGCTCGCAGCCTTATATAGATTTGTGCCTCCCATAGAGGGGGAAAACATCGAACGGCAAAGTATCTTCTGCTTGTATTGCAGCTCTTCTCCCTGAAATGATGAAGTTGCCAGGTATGGCCTTTGCATGACCCTTCTCAAAGGGTGTAGGTCTTCATGGCTCGCAATACGTTGGATGAGCGTGAAACACAGCAGCCTGAGGAAAGTGAACCTGGACATGTCGATGCAAAAACGATCGCCTCAACCTCCAGAATGCCCTTTGGAAGGGACAAACAATCAAATCCTTTGTGCTCCGTCTGTGAGGGAATAGGCGGAACATGAGCTCAATTAAGACTTCAAGAACTAACTTCGGGCAACAATTAGCTTCTTCAGTTGAAGTTATGGAACAATCATTGAATATTAAAGAGCGAAAATGCATGGACTCTCTTACAAAGCCGCGAAGAAGGCATGCATGGGGCATTGTTTGAAGGGACTGGATGAGATTCAGCAGAGCTTGATATATATATATATAACTTGGTTCTTCCTTCTTTCCAACAAATAATATAATGAGCCACCAGCACACCAGTCATGTGCAGTTGCTTGCGTAAAGGACCAACACATCTTTTTGACATGTGCGCTTTCGTTCTGGGATGTTCTGGGTAACACCTAGTCTACTGCACTGTTCGCAAGCTTCGCTTGTGACAGTCATGCATTGGACTTTACTTTGAGTCCACCACAGATCCGTCAGCATCTACTTACAGTGCTTGGTCTCATGATGGAGGTTTTCCTTCATTTCCGAACATCTGTGGTGCGGCTTGCGAATTCGTTGAATAAACAGGTGAGAAATCCAAGTCCAACAAAAACACACGCAAAAAAAATCAAGGTCTTGGAATCTGCACATGTTCTTGCATCCAAGTTGATGTCACATGCAAAATATCAATGTCTTGTCTTGCTCTCTTTGCTTGACCTACAAAGTCATTGCTGCTCCACATGCCTCATGGTAGCAGTGCAGCAAACATGAAGAAGAACAACGGCCAGGAACAAACAAACAAACAAACAAACTCCCCATTAAACTCTTCAAGGCACCACCTGACACAAACATCGCTCAACGTTTAATTGGTGGGGTTTGGCGGCCAAACATAAGTCCAGCAGTGCCACAAGGCCAAAACCTGATAGACCCCTGAGACATCCTGATGGCGCATGCCGCATGCCTGTCTTTGTGTGTCATCTTCGGGGGGCAATTAGTTCACTTCCTGAGTAGCGAACCTTGTTACCTACGAACCCGATGGCCTTTGCTACGTTCGATCGGCGATGGCCTCCACCGAGCAGCTCGCGTCCGAACGCTACGTTCGTAGTATGCCGCAGTATGTGCACATTTGGGTGACCTGGTGTCGTGGTGTCGAGCGATCCGAAAGTCTGGAGCCCAGGTGCCATGCCCAGCAAGAAGCTCACCTGCGGACTCACCGGCCACAAAGGGACAAGAAAGCAAGGCCTTGATTTGGCAAGAATTACACCAGCCTGTCAACGAAAAACAACATAGATATGAGGGACGGTCAAAAGTCCTTATTCTTCTTCAGCTAAAAAATGGACGTCATCGGTTTTGAGGTGGACCTTATCGTTTTACAGCGTTTTGAGTTCGTCGCATACTTATGACCATATACAGCGCTGGGGTTATCGGTTTTGAGGTGGACCTTATCGTTTTGCAGGGTTTTGTGCACAAACCTACCCCTCTTTACTAAAGTGGTCTTCGCATGTTTTGACCGTGGCTCATATAGTGACAGTAATTAGGTTTTCCGCTGTAAAAGGAAGTCCACGTCGACCCCTACAGGGGACAATCGTTGAAACTATTTAAATTTGGCTTTGGACAGCTGCTGTCAGCTGCATGTTTCTGAGCCCACCCGATGCTGTTTACTTGCTCCTTTGCTCTTCATCGATCTTTTCTCTTTGTGGATGATGATCCTTCCGCTGTGCATGGTTGCGTCCCTTTAAGGAAGCTCCATACCTTTCAGTCCACGTGGCCTTGCTGCGCCACGCGCCACCAGTAATGGTCTTCAGGTCCTGGGCAGAACCACGCTGTCCAAAGAGGCGTTTTGGGTTCCTGAACTTTCCGTGATGCAATCTCTCGCTATCACCACAACCAGTTCCAACAAACACGTCTGACCATTCCATCATACTTCACACACGTAACGTAACGCGTTGACCAGGTTCGACTGGGCTCATCCGCCTGTGGAGGGCTGCTATACTCCAAGGGGTCAAAGCCTCCGGATGCAAAGACCTGGCAAGGCGAACCAGTCGGTGTTGGGCATCTTTCACCAGTGTATGACAGTTTATCTAAAAGCTATTAGGAACAAGTGCATTGCTTCTAGTAACAAGTGCCTTACTAGTAGTAACAAGAAGCTATTTGTTTGTATCATTGCAAAGACCGCAACTTTGCAACAACAAACCAAGGATTACCGAGGCCACCTGCGGTCAGACGCGTGTTTTCGGTTCTTGGATTATACAGTAGACACAGAAAAATCGACATTGATCAACATGTAATTCCTCGTACTGATTTGCCAGCAGACTTATTATAGTGTAAAATAGGTTGTAGAAAATTCAACAAAAACAAACTGTATAGAATTTCTATCCTGAGAGTTCCTCACGAAGCTCTGCATCGAAGTCTTGGCGCCCTCCCTGAGTCCCGGGAGTCACGGCTTCTAAGTGGTCCGAGATCAGGAAGGAGCTGTGCTCCGTCAGCTGACCTAATTAAGGCATTTAGACCTATGAAAATTAAGCTGGAAGACCTATATGTCAAACATGTGAACAAACCTCTATGAATTGGTCGTCCCAAAAAAACACACATGTTTTGCATCATCCGCTTGTCGTTGTGTTTTGAATCTGTCCGGGTTGTGTTGCTGGATGTCTTTTTTTGGGGGGTCCCTTGTTTGTTTTCTTGCTTTTAGCTTCCGCATCCTATTCTTTTTACTTTAGCATACTTTTGCCATGTGCTTTTGGGCTCTTCGACTCTCGAGCAAAGCAAAACCAACATAATTAATGCTGCTTACAACGCGAAATAAGTGAACACGTTCAAGCTTGGCTACGGCTAGAATTGTAACACACGACAAAGGCAAAACACCAAGAAATACTGTTCTTTCTTTATTGTCAATGCCTCTCCTGCCTGTGCTTCGTATTTTATTCTCGTCCATCGGATGGAAATGAGCGCTCTCTTTCCCCAGTGGCGTGGCAAACCGCAGCCATGCATAAAGAGACGAAACACAAGAAGCACAATTGTTCTACACAAGATGGTCTTCTTACACTCACTTGCCCATGCTCTTGCCCCTGCAAGCCCTGCAAGCAGGGAAACCAAACCGCGACAGCAAACCTAAAGAGTTAAAGAACACATCGGAACAAAAAACTAATAAAACACACAGCAAAACAGAACGCCAAAACAAACGCCAAACAAAAGAAGCACATCTCAAACAGCAAAAACGATGGCAAATCAGAACACCAGAGAAAAAAAAAAAGAAAGTGAGACAATCCAACTGGAGCTGATACAGTCTGCGGCTAGAAACATCTCATAAGTCCATCCAAAACTACGATGGGAATCATTCTACAACTGGTTTTGCTGTTTGTATCTTTTGATGGATGTGGGCCGATGTGGGTCTTTCTCACACAATTTCGATCTGTTCATCCCAAACTCATACTCACATTCAAGCTACATCCGAACCCAAGTGAAGGTCACGGCCACGATGCATGTCAAAACCACGGAGTCCCCCAAAAAAGATTGGCAAAAAATTGGGCTGCACCTGCTTTTGAGCCTTAAAAGACTCTAAGGAAGCTCCAGGTAATTCCAGGTTACATACTGATGCAATTATGCAATATAGTTATCACGGATGGATGGTCAATTGGCTGCTCCAACGCATCCAGTCACTCCATCCATCTCTCCATCCAGCATCTCCCCTCAAGCAGGCCGGGCGTCACGCAAATCACCGCTGGTCCGCGTTCTGTGCGAGGTTCGCCCAGAGTGCAACCTTCGCCATTCTCGCCCATCTGGTTGCCTAGGCATCACGGTCAGGGGACACTTCAGTGGATTTGCTCTGGACACGATCTCCATCCAGCATCCACCAAAAACCAAAAAAACACGTTCCCTCGGACACCTGTTTGGCCAATTGGTTATCCGCGTAGCAGTATCACCGGTGTTTTTTAAACATTTCGAGTGCGTCGGCACAGGGGGCCGCTAAATCTGCGGTCCCAGTTGACCCAGTTGACCCAGTTGGACAGGGTGTCCCAGTTGACCCAGTTGACCCGCTTGACCCAGTTGACCCAATTGACCTCAACTGGGTCAACTGGGTCCAGAGATTTAGCGTGGCTGCCTGGTCAAGTCGACCACTGCGACCACTACCACTGCTACTACTACGCGTCAACTGGGTCAATTGGGGTCAACTGGGTCCGCAGATTTAGCGTGCCCTCCTGGTCAATTCGACCACCACGACTACTACTGCTACTACTACGTGTCAACTGGGTCAAGTGGGTCCATTGGGTCAACTGGGGTCAACTGGGTCAATTGGATCAACTGGGTGATTTGGATCAACTGGGGTCAACCGGGTCAACTGGGTCCACTGCTACTACTAGGTTGTTGTCTGAACTGGATCACGAAAAATAACCCATCAACCTCAACATGGGATTCCTGGTGTGGAGTGTGGTTTCTACGTGTTAGATCCTGTTTTCATAACTCATTATTGTTGTTTATGCGTTTGCTTTCTACTGAGGTTCTGATGGAGGCAGTGTCTCAACTGGCTCAGGGAAAGTTTTCAACCAACCTCAGCACGGGACACCTGGCGTTGAGCTTCGTTTCCCATGGTTAGACTATGTATTTCTATGTGTCAATGTTGTTTATGCGACCATGGTCGACTCGATGGAAGAAGGAGTCCAAACCAAGCTCAACACAAGATGTCTGGTGTTGATCTTGGTTTCTAGCTTTCGTTGAGTAGCTTTACGTAGCCAAGTCGCTTGCTCACAGGTCGTCGATAGATCTAGAGCTATCTCTTGACTCGCAGGAAGAAACGGTCCCAACTGTTGGACTGTTGGCTTCTGAAGTGGATCAAGCTGGATCAACCGAGGTTGTGATGAAGACCGTTGTTGAACTTGAACAAGTAAGGTTCCGAATCACGCTCTACACGGAATGTCTGATGTTGATGTTGGTTTCCATTGATTAGATCATGTCACACGTCTTTATAGCTCCATGTAGCCACAGATGATGAGGATGGTTGGTGTTGATTGAAAGTACAGGTCACTTATATACTCAGGTTCCAGGATTCTATGGATGAGTTGACTTAGTTGTCTGTGGTTTAGTGGATAGCCTGACGATCGAACACGCAGCACCTGATCCCTGGTTTGGACCTGGAAAAGATCCACAAGTCGACCACGGGATCCTCACAGAAGCCGAACTCTGACTCTGACTCTGACCTGGAAAAGATTTTTACAGAAGAAAAACACTTCCAAATCCGCAGCAGTTCGCACGAAAGGGGATAATTGGTGATTGAACCTTCCCCTGTCTGAAAGGTCCAGATCATCGTTACAACTTGAAACTTAGCTCCACGCATGCCATTCGTTGGCAATTTTTTGACGGCCGTCTGTCCATGCAGTGGCTACGCCTGCTTCACGTGGGGTGCCCAATGGAAATACAAAGCCGATTAACTTGATAAAAAAAGGGTTTGTCCAAGCTCAACACGGGAACCCTGGTGTTGAGCTTAATTTTTACTGTTCAGACTGCCTTATTTTACACCTTTGCACTAGTAGGGTTTCATCTTTGATCGAGCATGCTCAGTAATTATAGTAGTTGTTGCCAGACCTTGAACCCAGTCAACTGGGTCAACTGAGACACCCTGTCCAACTGGGTCAACTGGGACCGCAGATTTAGCGGCCCCCTGTGCGGTCGCAATGAACATTTCAGCATGTGGGAGCTGCAATCAGTTGCTGTTGATGGCTCAGTCTCCACGTTTCTCGTCTCCTTCCCTTTGGGCTCCGTGCCACACATGGCAATCCGCCAGAAGTTGAACATGGGCAAACGCTCCCTTGGGAAAGCTGACCCGCTGGGCCAGGGAAGGCTAGGAATTAAAGGCTCCTAAGATAGCTAGTAACAAGTGCCACGCTAGTAGTAACAGGTGCCTTACTAGTAGTAACAAGAAGCTATTAGAAACAAGTGCCACGCTACTAGGAGCAAGAAGCTACTAGGGGCTCCTGGCCTTACTAGTAGTAACAAGAAGCTATTAGAAAGGCTGCAAATGAGTTCAGCAAGGTTTGAAAGGACGGAAATGAGTTCAAAAGGCTACTCGTCCAGCAAAATGAAGCTTCTAATAACCTATTCACTCATGACTCATACTCATTCTTCTCATGTTCCGCCTTCCCCCCAACACAATCAGACAGGTGGTTTCCTTCTTAGATTTGCCCAAATTACATAATAATAATACCTTGAACCTGTTGCTGGCCCAACTTTGTTGATCTCACGACAGGGGCTCCAGGAACTACTGACTGAACATAGGGCTGCTGGGCAGTGATGGGCCAAGTACCACGGAGCCTTCCGCATATATCAAGGATAAGCCATTGGGGTTGATGATGACTTCCACCAAGGTCCAACCCCACTGACGGCCGCCCCAGAGAAGATCACCCCATCTTCGGTCCAACTCAGCCACCCCACGGTCGGGTAATCTGAAGGTTGATCAATGTGAGGCCTGGAAGGCACCATCCACGGGCGATGAAATCCACGGACGCCACGGCGTGGCGTGGGACGCAGAAAAGCACGCTGCACAAAAATGCTGGTCATTACTGGAGCACTTGCAAAACAGTGGGAAGAACTGAGGAAAGATTGAGCAAACACAACAGTAACATCTTCAGGGATGTTGCACAATGATTCAAGAACTCCTTAGTAAAGGACTTTGAACCAGCTTGGGCACTCGAAGCACGGGTCACGAGTCAATCAACATCTCAATCAACCCATGGAATTCGAACACCTCCGTCTCTGTCAGTCAGACTGGGGTGCACAGTTGACAACGCATGAACGTCTTGAACCCCATGTGGGACGACAACGACTGGTTGGCTTTCTGGGATTTTACCCGAGTCTGCCGTAGAAAACCCTTTCTCAAGCCTGGACCGCAAGTGAGAAACAATCCTCGTGGAAACGGACAAAACGTAGAACACCCTCCTGAGAAACTCCGTCTTTTCCCAGGTTGCTCTTGGTTTGGGAGGCGGGATGTAACAAAGGCGCTTCGCCCGGTGGGGGAAGAACCATGCGTGGATCAAAAAATGCGCGAAATAGATCTGGCCTGTCCGCAACTTCTTGGTCTTGTCCAAGTGTACCAAAAGCTGGTTGTCACCTGTGACACTGTGACCGTCGTGAGGTCTGCAAATTCCTACGTCCTACATGCACCCACTGCTGTGGGTCATGGCTGTAGCTCTGGCCATGAAGGTGATGGACCTTCCAACTGCACCTACGACTTACGAGTAGAAGAAAGCTGAACAAAACACCAGCTGAGCAAACAGCCACAGTGATCTCCAAGTCTTCGGAGTGTCTTCAGATTGGGTGGCACCAAGAAAGCCAGCTTCCAAGCTAACTTGTCTTGATCCAACTGTGCAGCAGTGCGTTCTTTGAGGTCCATGCGCCCTAGACTATCGCCATCGCGCCCTTTTCGACAGCTGTTCACCAAGGAAAATCGAGGACCCCGACCCACTTTGGCTTGGAAGGGCGATCTACTGGAGGAGAGGTACAAGCCTTCTCCGAAGGATGTAGATGCCTGGACGAGGTGCAAACAGGCGCCCCTAGTGCTGTAGGGCAGGGGCTCTACTATAAGCAAGAAGAGAAAATACAGGCGCACCCTTTGAAATATAAAGATCTGGATTCTGTTAGAGAAAATACAACCTCTTCAAATCAGTGTTCTTTGTTTTTGCTTTGGAGAAATACTGATCACTTGACCCTGTTCGTCAAGTCTTGACGTAATACTCTGATCGCTGTTAACTACCCGAAATGGATTTCATTGAAGTGACGCCTGAACGCCGCCGTTGAACCAACCTTATATCTCTGGAAGCCACAAACCCTTGCAGTTGTATCGTGTCTCAAAACCAGCGGATGCGTGGGATACCAAGGCTCCCTCTGAAAAAATCACCCATCTTCCTTCTGGCGCCTGAATCTCCATGGTGTCCAGTCGATAATCTGGCTCCTTCGGGAAGTCGATGAGGATCCCCCAAACATCAATGTCCACGTCGTCCAAGATCTGCCACAGTTAAACGGCACACACGTTGACACACGTCAATTTCAGCAAGGAAATAGACCCCAATGGCCCGGAACATTCGGAAGGGCCATCTAGTACACGTTTCATCTCTTTTATATACCTGGTGCCAAAATTGACATGCGTGCTATCTAGCCGGAATTAAACACACCATAGTTTCAAGTTTCAACATTTCAACACTTTTTGTTTTACTGGCTTGCATTGGGGGCAGGGTCGGATTCTCTGGAGGATGCACGGTGCGAAGTGACCAACATATGTCATGTGTCCCTTGAAAAATGTCAGAAAGGTTTGCTGACAAATGGATACAAATGGCACAAACGCTATGATATGCTGTTCGCATAACTTCCTGGACGTTCCTGGATCCTCCAACTGTCTAGAAAATCAAACATGTCAAACATGACACAACATGACCCTATTTAAAAAAAAAAGAAAACACACAGATAAACAGGTACTTGTCCTTACTTTGAGTCTCCAGGTTGTACTTCATTGTATCTGGGGTAGCAGCACACCCTCCGGACTCGCAAGATCCATTTCCTTTACCTGTTTATTTATGTTTCAACATTTAGTGTGCTGCAACGGTCAATGAATGAACTGCCTGCAGCTTGCTCTTCCCCTCTGGATATTTTTATAGAACAGTGAAACAAATCCAATCACGAACCTGATAGCTATAGGTAGTGCAGAATGTCCGACAAACATCAAAGAAACAGAGACCCGTTCCGGGCTCGATTGGTACTCAAAGACAGCCCAATGGATCGCCCCCCTGCGCGAAAAAGGATGGCCCCAAAACGCGCGAAGGGATCGCCAAAGTGTCCAGTTTGAGTACATCTTGGTAAGGACAAGTCGTCATCCGAAACCTGGTTTTGCCATCTTCAATCACCCCCTTTCACTAAGAATCTGCTTCCAAAACTGCACGAACTGGGATCGTGTGACCTAGCAAGTGGTGCATGTGGGGTGGTTCAACCACAATGGAGGAGAGAAATCACAAAAGCCAATCCCACATTCGATTGAAGAGTCTTGCCTTTCTTGGATCTTGACGACCTGAAATCTGGGAAGACTGAAATCATACTCCGGCCTCGATGGGAACGGTCACTGTGAAGTAGGTGTCATCTGGCAAAGCAAAGGCGCACATCAGCAGAACAAGGCGAACATCCTTCGAACAGACCAATTTCCACTGCTGCCCATGCGAGTGAAATAGCTGGAAACGCTTCAAGTAACATGCCATCCAGAACTCTCTGGTTCCCTGGAACTCCAACAAACATCCTAGTTCACTTCAGTCCTAAACACCGTCGGCAGTCTGCTGCCCACTGGGGCCATCACACTGCAGAAGCTGAGTCCACCAAAACGCTAACACCTTGGAGGATGCCGAGATCGGCAGTTGGCCCCCCCCATCTTCGCTGGAGGATTTTTTCTGTCAGAGCTAGGCGACCGGCATTTCTTTTTAGGTCAGTGTTCATGAAACATGGATAGGTCTTGTGGGTGGAGGAAATGGAGTGGTAGTTGTCACTGCTCAAAACCTAATGTGACGACCCAAAGTCACCTGTTGAGGGTCCCTAAGTGACCTTAGTCTAGGCCTAAGTGATCTCATTTGGAGATTTCAAAGGATCACTTGGAAGAGCCAGGACAGTGATGTGGATGTGATGCTTTCGCCCTCGGAGCCAGCAGCCAGCCTCCTCTTCACATGTCATTGGCGTGTGCTGGTAGACTGAAGACATACAGTAGCTCGTTTCTTCCAAATTCTCTACTTACTACTGTGGCTGTGGGTCAAACTTAGAACCGCCTCAAACATCGCCCAACCCCTGCTGCCCTGCTAGGTTGGCATGGGTCGTCCATTCGCTTCAGAGATCCTTCCCCTTCTCCAGCCCTTCCTCACCCATGGACAATGATAGATGTTTGGCTCGAACGAAAACTCCGACGGCTTTGACGGGCACTCCACATCTGCAGCACAAAGGGTCATGTAGACTCTTGATGATCTTGGAGCCACCATACGAAGAGGTTCTATATTCCAAACGGACGGGTTCTATAAAATGTAACCTGAAAATTGACCCGTGGATTCGTCTACCACCCAGTGGTTTTTGGGTTCCATGTTCATCTGCAGGGGAGTAGTCTGACTCTGATTTGACCCGGAGTTTTGGGCTCAGAGCTAGCAAGTCAATGAAGATGATCACAAAAAAAACACCAGAAGTCTCAGCCACACATGAAACAAACAGTGGGTTCAAACAGATTGGACCCATGGACACCTACCGCTGGTGGTTCTACACATGAGTGGGTCAATTGACAAATGCAGACTGCCACCACGTCAGCACCGCCGTGCGGCCGCCTGCGGCCTGGAGTCACCTTTCACATCAACGACTGAGCTTCCGACACTGGCTCTCAAGCCTGCAATCCGCTGCAGATCAACACTGGGTCCCAAGCACCAAGATAAATGAACAAACAAATTGGACTGTCCGACTGTCCTTGTCATTTGGTCATTACCCGGTTTGTAGGATGCATATCATATCCATATTTTCTCCAGGTTCGTTGGATGCATACGGTTTCAGTCCTTCATCTTGCTGATGTTGTGTCAGGGCTCCTCCCTGTCTGAGACTAGGCCTTGTTGCACGGGTTCGCCAGGCACTTTCAACGACACGTCCTGCATGAAATGGACATGTCCAGTACAGCAAGAAATACTGCACATGGTGCTGTATATACACAAATTCACTCATGTGGACATGTACAATAGTGAACCAAGTGGCAATTAAGGTTAACATAATTCTGCATCTCCTGACCCCAAAAAAGCAGCAGTACTCGCATAACTCAATCTTTGAAAACAAAAAACAATCTGCATTTTACACTGCAACAAAAAATACTGTACAATACTCGAGTAGTTTGATTTCAGAACCCAATGACATAAATTAACTTTCCTGCTGTACAATAATTGATGTTTTGCCTATTCACTATCCTTTTGAATCTCTTCTTCTGTCTCCTTTGCATCTTGTCTTTGCCTTTTTCCCCACAAACATCCACAAACATCTAAGTAATTAGTATTTCCAAAATGTCAACCCGGCTCAAAGCAATATTTTTGTTAGCAGGACAGCTCCAAAAAGCATGTGTTTAAACTAATTGCCTTTTTTTGTATACAATGGTTACTCCAGGCACATTGCATAATATGACATAATATGTTCCATAAGTCAACCACCCAAGGTGGTTACTGGCTGTTTGTGTTTCGAAACATCATTTGTTGTCTTCTGAAAAGGTCAATTTATCACAGAAACAGGCATAGATACCCCCTATCCAAAAGGGCTAACAGCAAAGCTATGATTTTATCAAAAAAATGCACGGCAAAGGTATGGTCCAGATTTTCTCCATCAGGAGCACGAAGAAAAATGTCGAAGGTGTTGAGCCCCGCCAGTGGGTTTTGTCCTCAGCACAACACGCGAAAAGACAAAGCATCGAGTGGTTTTGGACTGGTTGGGTGATATATAGCCACTCTTCGATGTATTTACAGTATAAATGAAATGGGAACAGGGGAATGGAAATAGAAATAAGCAACCACTCAGTTGAGTCCACCTGCCATCCTGCGAGCCCCCTCTAATGAGCACATCTAGTTCAACAAGCACACTAACACACTTGATCCCCCACCACAAGTTCTTAACACCACCTGTGTTCAATTAAAGACCAAGACTCTTGAATGCAAGTGAAAGACTATCAGAAGACCTTTGAAGGGATTTTGCACAGAAACATCCCGGCTCTAGCATGATAGACGTTGAACGAAGACCAGCTTCCAGTCCAAGGTGAATCAAGGGCAAGTCCCAAGAATCAGCAGGATCAAAGTCTGTTGTGTGTTATTGTCTCGGCAAAAAACAAAACAATGCATGTTGGATACAATTTCTTGACCGCCGTACAGGATCATAAATCCGAACATGGTGCGGCACCAAGTACCACCCCCAACGACTTTGTGATCAACAGCGTTAGAATTCATGTCTATAGTAAAAATACCAAACAAACACCTGCATGGCTGGCAAATTGTCAAGTTGTCAATGTAGTTCCATCTCATCCGGTTCAAAGTCCAAGTCCAAAAATCCAAAACTGCTCTGAACAAAATAAATCTTAATTGATTAAGAAATCCACGGATTGAAGTGGTCAGCGAAACGTATTTTTCTCAACAAAAATATACCCCTCGCCCTCTGGCCTGAGCCTCTCCCATTCTTTCTTTTCGTCCAAAGTGCGAGGTGTTTCACCAGGGACGATGACCAAGTGCAAGCCCTCCGGGAGAGTCTGGTTCAAAGTAATGGTCACCTCACAGAGCGAGCGGAGTCAACACGCAGCGGCGGAAGAACAAATACGCCGCGGAGGGCTGGAGAAACCGGAAGAAATACCCTCCAAGTCACATTCCATGGTTACGTGGACGCGGACGTGGATGGCATGTTTTTTTGGGGGAAGAGAACATTAACTTCCCCGACCAACAGAGGGGTTTAATCCACTTCCATGTGATGTGTTTGTTGGAGCGTAAACTGACTGACCACCCCTGACATTCCAAGCGTTGACTCCTTTTGGACGGTCAACATCAAGAACCGACCTGCTTAAGATACGTTACCCGGGAGAACTTTGTCATAGCCATATGCGGCCATAGCATTTGAAGCAATGAACATAAGTGAACATGGTTCCATGAACGTAGGCATCCCATCTTGAACACATCTCTCCGCTTTCATCAGCCGCCCTCTGTTCCCAGCAACCACCAATGAGACAAACATGAGCTAAGCAGCTAAGCCAAGCATCAACCAACGAACGAACGGACGGAACAGAACGGAAAGGAAAGGAACGGAACAGAATGGAACCCAACCCAACCCAAACAAACAAAACAAGCCGAACCAACCAAGAAAAAACAACCAAACAAAACAACACCAACCAACCACATCCAACCAACCAACCAGAACCAGCCCACCAACCTTCCAACCTCTCTGCCAACCTGAAGCCAACACCCCACCCGTTCCCCCACCGCGTTCCCCCGTACTCCCCGTCTCGGACGTTTCGGGGCGCCCCACGCTGGGGGGGTTCACCGCGCTCCGGCAGCTGCTGATCGTTCCCAGAGAGCCGGGCTTCACCTGGCGGCCCGAGCTCCGCTGGTCGTCTGCACATCCGGAAAGGCATGGAGGATACTGCAGCTACTCATGGATGGGAAACTGGAGGGCATCGAAGGGAAACTGCATATCAATTCAACCTGTTCATCCAAGGGGAAAGTGCAGTGTACTCCTTTGCAAAGGACCACATGGACCTTGAAAAAGGCCTCCAGGGCCTGGGGCGGTTAATAGAGGGTCCATGTGGTCGTCTGCAGGAATGGTCAACCAAAGGGGCCAGCTTCTTGAGGCCAGAACATATGGTCAAATCTGTTTCCAAGACCCAGCATATGTGATTTGTCTACCTTGGTCTTGGTGTGAGATTTGTCTACCTTAGAGGTGTCCTTGATCCCAAAGAACCCTTATGCCCTTTGAATTCCATGCAATCCATACATGGATTGTCAAGATTCAATCAACTGGATTAAATCTCGTTTGCATGCATCTCCCGGATGAATTGACTGTGGCGAGCACTTCAAGCCGCTCACAAACAATCCTGGAACAGTCCAAACAGTTGCACTTGACAAGGGGCTCAAACACACTGACTGACAACGGGCATTCTGACTAGAAACGTTGAACATTGATCGATATTTGGTGCAAACATGAGTCTCGGTGACGTATTCTACTAAAGAATTGAGATGTGGATCAGTAACAATAACAACAAGTTGCCAGTCACTATAGTGCTGTGCCAAGCAATTTGGTCAATGGGAAGAAGGATGTTGATAGGAATCAACGATGTCAATTCCCAGAAGCTGAGAAGCAATCTCTTAGGATCTGCTTGAGAAGCTATATATAACCCCTTCAGGAATCTAGGCTCAAATCCCCAAGACTGCTTTAGGCCAGTCCCTAAATAAACATAAATAAACAACCTAATTGGGATAGCCAAAAGTCCTGATGAAAATGTGAAGTATTTCCTGCACCTCAGATGCAATGAATCAAGAAACAATGAAACTGCTTCTCTTACGCATCCCCGTTCCACAGTCACTGCAAGGCTGGGCGACCTTGACTTCTATTTTGGGTAGCCAACCTCGGGCCATGAAATGGGAAATGTCTGACGGTGATTTCCCATTTCAATCCTCCCCATCCTATCTCCCAATCCTCCCCAGGGCGCCCGAGCAGTGCCGCGCTTGTTCACACAGCCGAATTGTTGCAGGTCAGGCGGCCCAACGACCATCACCTGCACATGACAAACATGACAAACACTACATTAATTGGCATGTTAAATATGTAAAATTCATCAAAATTCCAAATATAGATTCTGCTGACATACCGTATGGGACCTCTTGCGAACCTACAGGGCCATGGAAAAAGCCAGGGCCGGGTAGGTGGCGAGTCAAAGGACCAATGTAGGTAAATATTCCATGCATGGAGTCAAAGGGCTACTTATCAAGTTTAGTCCGCATTTGTACAGAATCTGGAACTCCATCATCGAATAGAGCGTTCTCTGATCCCGTAGCTTTGTGGGTTCTGATGTGATCAGAAGCGGTCGATTGCAACTGCTGAAAGTTCTGAAAGGCTGCAAGAAGGATTGATGATCGGAAGCGTCATTCCACTTGCAGGACATGACCCGTTTCACCCTACGGCCTCGCGGCCTCAAAACTTGACGCCCCCAAAGACCCCAAGCTGACATCCAACACATAGAACTGGGCTCGTGACCCTCAGGGGTGTCACGCCCCAACGAATTCGCCGACAACCCCCAACACATCGACTCTGTCCGGAAAAAACGTACAAAACAGATGTTACGCGAAAAAACACAGCACACAAACCAAAAAAAAGAACGCCTGGCGCACAAAGACAAGCAAGCGAGCAACAGCGCCTGGCCGTTGGGCGGCACATCCACTCGACTGGAGAAGGCGATGCCCACGTCCACCGGCACCGAGGCCAAAGATCCATAGACCACCTGTGACGGTCAGGCCGTTCGGGGTCCGGCCGGCCGCAGCGGAGGGGACGCCGTGGTCCAACGGATGGTCCACACAGGGACCTGTCAAGGTCAGGGTCGGTCAGTGTGCGTGAAGCTGGGTACTGGGTACAAGCTGTTCATTGATGTTCATGTTGGCGAGACGCTGGGTGGATCTAACATGGCATAGCAAATGCTTTCAGCTGGGTGAGTGCAATGGCAAAACTGAATCGTTTAAGATGAAGATATTTGTATTATACTATAAACACATATAACATATATATATATATATATTCACCACATCTTGGTGTTGACTGAAAGCAGCAAGAGCTCTTGACCCATAGGCTTTGCCTCTTCATGATTGTTTTCACCCCGTCCAATCGTGAAGCTGTCTGGGAAACTACTCCTGTTCTCTCATGATATCCAGAAAAATCATAGGGCCGTAGAGAATTCATGTTCCAAGTCTTCAGAACTCCTGCATTGCTAGCACTCAAAAGCTCATTTCTGCACTTAAAAATACTTGACAATTCAAAGATCACACAGCAGCTAGGCAGCTAGGCCCACTTAGTGAGCGCCTGCACGTCCATGTCAACGATTTCGAATCCAGCCAGGGTGCCCTGGTCGGGTCCAGGTTCCCATGTGATACCAGGATCTTCCAACTGCGCACCATTCCCGCCTTTTTCATTTATTAAAGACAAACTCAAGGTGGAAATGTTGCATAGTTGGAAGATCTAGGAAAGGTTGCAGCACCATGCAGTACAAGTACCTGAAAGCTGCAAATTACTGTAGTTATGAACACGCACGAACCCAAGAAATTAGGCAGTGTTCCAAGGATACAGGAAATTTGAACACCCGACTAGATTCGGAGTTTAAATGGCATCAACAATCTGAATTTCCACATGGTCCCATGTTTTTTGGGGTGATCCGATGTTGTCCTTAACCGCATGGCAGGGAATGGACAAAACAACACATCCTGAGAATGAGCCACATCTCTGCCCTGACACATAGCAGCCATCTGGCTTGCTCACTACCAAAGGAGCCACACCACATGCAGGGCCAAATATGAACTTGAGTGAGCCCTGTGCTGATTGGACAAGATCCTGGAGTCTTTCCAAACGGTCCTAGGTCATACCGAACCAATCGTGGAAGCTGTGGAACAGTTCGGCCCCTGGAAGACCATGAAATCCTCTATTCTGGGGGGATCTGCGGCCAACTTCCATGTTTGTTGGGAGGGTCATTCACAGACTCTGTTTCTCATGATCTGTGATGCTGTTTCTCTCCCAGGGAGGGTTTTCTCAGCAGCTGGAGGGAAGGTCAGATCAGTCGACTAGAGGGTCAGATCGTGCTGGAGCTCCGTTCCAGTGAATGAAGACAGTTCAAAGCTGCAGTGCAAAGCAGCTCACACTGATGTCCTTTACTTGAGGGCATCCCCTTTTATAGTCAACAACCAACTCAGCCAATATTTAAAAGGCCAACGATGGCAGCTGACTCCATCTGTTTCTGTCCCGAGTCTGCGATCCTGAGGCCCTCGCCCGTCCCAGCCGGTCGCCGATGGAGCTGTAGTTCCCGCCTCAACAGCGAACGGGGATAGCGGTTGATTGAGGCGAGAAGTTGGTGAAGGGAACATTTGAGGCAAAAACCTTAAGCCTTGCACCAAACACTTGCAAACAACAGCTTGCAAACTTCCGAGACCTCTTTGCGAGGTTGGCCAGTCATGCACCAGTCCAAAGCTGTTCGGACGGTCTTGGAAAGCTGTTCAGTGTTGTGCCACTCTAACGGTGAAAACGGTTGTGCCTTTCAAAGTCGGCAAATCGGCTTTTCAGCGGCTACAGTCGTCAATAATGTTGGCAATGGGCTGTCCTCCCTCAGGTAATTGTTAAATACCAGGCATCCCCGTGTAGAGTCGTATTGATAGATATTATATACGAGTAGATATGTGTCTGTGTGTCCATTCAAAAATATCTGAAGAGTTTGAAGGCGGGATTTTGCTTGACTTTTCGTTGAGCCTCATAAAATTTGACACGAGGCATGAGTGATCATTGAGATAACAGTGCAGTCACCGCATGCTGAGATTCAGCAATGTCTGATTCTCCCGAAGGAATTTTCATTGAGAGACCAGGTCGGCAACTTGTATCATCCTGCACTCTTGTCCTATGGCACCGTGTTTGAGTACGGAGTCGGCTTAATCAAAACACATGTCAAACATGGCCCCTCTTTCCGCTGCGGCCTATGACATCTACCGCCTCAACGAACCACACCTGCAGATCGGGGTGCTTTTGCAACAGCCGGCACTCCACGACGATAGGTCTGAGTGTCCCGTCAACGTTGAAGCTAGTATTTAAGACATTGATGGTTTGTTGGATGCAACATACAATTATCTATCAGGACATGAATAAAATTGAATAAACAAAACGGCATGGTTTGTGGGAAAACATAGGCATGCTGTTCTTTGACTCTTCTCCTATAGTGAGCCAAGTCATACATAGAAATTACACCATGATCATGTATGTTTTGTTGAATGAATTGTTGATACAAACGTAGCAAACCCATGCAAACCCTATATATAAATATAGTTATAATACAGTTTGCAAAATTGCTCTCAAGACTCAACTACTGCAAGTCGCGGGGAGGGCCAAATTCGAGCATGCCTTGAAGGGGCACAGAGTTTCTGGTGTCTCTAAGAAATACCGGATATTTCTAATTGCATGGACGTCCGTGCTGGGTGGATATACGATCCAAACCTACAGACAACTCTATGGTGAATTCGTTACAAACACAAAAAGCAAATCTGCGAGACGTGCTGATGACATGTTGTGATCGGGTCTTCGGGCCTGCACCCTATTTCAACTGGAGTCGCGGAACGACCCGAAGGACTTCAGGAGCGACTTACTACGCACAAAACATAATCGGTTGCTCAAAGCATGAGAAAATCTGGGGTTTATGTATGACGTCTGCAACATTGCCAAACAGCAGTTAAAGGTTACGGTTACGGTTACAGTATGAGTATGTACACGTGATGCGATCTTGGATGTTTGCTATTTGAGGATTTGATCCATCAAAGCTTTGTAGAAAACGATGATGCCTTGGGATAGACTGTGATAGATAGATCGGTGTTACTGTTGGATACAGGTGATAGGTCGGGTCTATCACACGTTGGTATGCCTATATATATCCTATATATCCTATGTAGATATACTGTTGGTATGCTTTTGTGACCCTGAACAGGTGATACCGTCTAAGCTCCACACGTTCTCAGCTGCGGTCACAGAAGCCTCGGGCCTTTAGATGTGATCCGATTGGGATGAGGTGAGGAAGAGGTGCCGCTTGTGTTGTTTCTTACAACTTACAACGGTAGTTCAATCCCGCATTTGCAGTCTTCTGGGTTTCTTTGATGCCAAACATCAACAATATGGCTTCAAGTGATAGACAGCACTCTGTGCATGTGACAGCACGGCCGGTGGGCTTTTTATTGCTTCTTGTCAGTGCTGCACGACCTTCTTGGTCGATATCAGGAACGGCGTTACTTGCCATTAGAGAAAAAGCACTGAGAAGAATCCCGTGCACCCGCTTCCAAGGCTTCAGTCGTTTCTTCAGCGAAGCTTGTTGGGGTGGAGAGTTGGTTTTTTTGTTCAGAACTTCCCTTTGGCTTGGTGTTCTGTCCCGAGAACTCGACATCTGCTCGGGTGCCCGAGAACTCGTTGTCTTTCAGCGACCCAAATGCGGAATCAAAGGGTCTCCGAAAACCCGACCTGGTGAAAAGAATGGATCTGTCAAACCGTCAATGAATCAATATCACAGGTTTTTCATTGGGGGTGGAACGGAGCCTTTTAGAAGTTTTTAGACCACTTCACACTGGCAGTGCCTCATCTCGTCCGGGGATCCCCACGTGGAAACATAGATCACGGCAGGTGCCTAGTCGCTAGCGCTCTCGGCGCCTCTCTCTCTCTCTATCGTGAGACATGAGGGGTGGTCAGAACTGCTGAGGTTCTCTGGATGTCTTCCTTCAGGATTGATGAAGTTCTGGATTTCTCATGCAGTGGAGCAATTCATTAGTGGAATTGCAAGTTTGGACCTGCTACTCTGAAGTGCCATTCCAAGTGCCCATCCCCAAAAGCTTGGGACGGGCAATCTGTTTACATCTGCCTAGAAAAAGACACACTGACATCTCTTAGGAAGTGTAGATCCCCAGGTAAAAAAAGAAAAAACACAGCACGAAGGTGTTTCAGGGGCCCTATTTTGGGTCCGTATTCATTCCACCAAGAAAACCATCCGATTCCGTGATCTGGAGCATTACAACCAAAAGTGTTGGGGACGAGAACGACCAATGCAGCAGACCTCCAGGTTAGAGAGCCACGGATTCCTGCTCTCAGGTAGCTGAGAACGACACAAATTGGAGCTCCGGTTTGCATGCACTTTGAGTCTTGCTGCTGAAAGTGAAACAATGATACCCCTTCTGAAGTTACTGAACAACTAAACACCAACTATACTGCCACATTTCTACTTCGGACAGACTGATTGGTTTATTTCTGAAACAAAAGCACACACACACACACGCACTCTCTGAGTGCAAGAACCCGTATTCATATTCATTCATTCAACATATCAATGGTATCTCTTCTGCACCATGGCCTCAGCTTGCAACAATAGTATACAAGCTTTTACAACCTAGACCTAGGCATGTTTAAGGTCACCAACAAGCAGGACCACTCTCTTATCAAACAAGAGGTATCAAGAGGTGACACGGGATGCCGCAGGAAGTCTTTCATCAAGTGGAGCAATCTGGTAGGTAACTTCATCGATCAAAAACTCCTCTACCCTGCAATCTTCTGACTCCAAAACCGTGTCGTCTGACACGAATCCGGCATGTGCCCCTCATGACAGGAATGATATATATATATATATTAAGTTATATTAGTAATATATATAGATTATATTTGTTTTGAGCTGTGTAGCTCCCCTCGAAAGAAGACGTTGGGACATGATTCCAGGAATTCCACGACTGAGTCGTGGAAGCCACTCTCCATGTTTTAATCCTTCGTTCATGTATGCTGACTGTCCACCTGTCAGGTAATTATGCTGACTCGCTCTGCATGAAACTGATTTGGTGATTCACGAAGCTCCAGTGTCATATCCCCGTCTCATGGTGTGAGTCTAAAAAAGCCAAGCTCCCCAAGCGCTCCCATCATCGACTTCCCCCGCCTCACGAAAGCAGTCGGTGCCAAGGCCCTTGGCATTCGTATCGCTTCGATCCGCCTGGCGTAGAGCATCCATGATGAAAGCTATTTGAAACGTTCCCGGATGGGTCATCTCCCTCCTTTATGGAGGACATGGCCTGGTGCGAACGGCCAGCTTCACCTAAGACGAACCATGCAGCTCCAAAGCAAACCTGGCAATGGAACTTTGGGTTTTCCAAAAATAAGGACACACCCACACACCAAACAAAGTTCAATAAAGCATCATAGTCGTATACTTTCTTTTTTGGTTGCTTGCCCAGCTCTTCCAGGCCCTACTAATGCAATCGCGGCAAGAAAAACCACCAAACAAAGACATAAAAGACTTGTTGAGATGGCATCAGATCCAAAACTCCTGCTTCACTGGTCTGAGTCTGTATCGTGCAGGGGAGTAGAATACTGAAATTGGTGCGGACCCTATTGATCCTATTGCAATGTGGAACGAGGAAACCCATTCCCCCAGGTGACGCACAGGGCCTATCCAACGTGCCACCTCTTCACAGAACCCCCCTGATTTGGGGGTCCCTGACATAGTTCATGCCTGATGATCTATCATAAGCCATAATTGACTTGTTTGCAGAAAACCTCTCACTCAGCCAGCAGTTCCGCTTCACATCGCCTACCTACTGCAGCTTCTCCGAGCGTTGAAAAGGGCTCAACGAGCCCAGGTCGATGCGTTGAACAAGCCCCGTTCGTAGTCGTAGCGTTCTTGCTCCGTTCGTAGTAAGGCCAGGAGCCCCGTTCGTAGCGTCCGGTCGCTCCTAGTAGTGATGCCCTTTGTTCCGTTCGTAGCGTCCAAAAGACAGAACTCCATGGTGAGGCACTCTGGCGATCACGCTGACGGGTTAAACCGCCGACTGTCTTGAACAAATCGCCTGGCAATCCACCCGCGCTCGGCTGCGGCCATTGAGAGGTGGCAGGGGAAAACAACCTCAGTGGCAGATGGGTGGACGGGCTGACCATCAGCTCGACAGATCATGCGTTGATCCAAGTCGAGGATGCTTGGGATCTACGTGGGACGAGCTGAAACTCTAAGCTGATTCTTCTGCTCGGAGAGTGCGTGTTGACCCTCCGGATGAGCTGGTGATGCACGGGTGGTTTGTTTTCCATGTGTCGAGTCCTGGGTCCCCCCATGACTGGAAGTGGCTCCGGGGGTAACATCCAAACTGGGAGGCAAAACCCACACCCTGCGGAGGCCGCCATCTTTTTGGATGCTAGTCTCTGAACCAATGCGTTTCAGGCCAAAACACGACCTATACCAAAAAGACGGGTGGAATGTACAGTGGCATCCAAAGAGAAAAGGGTTTGAACATGTTTCAATTGCATCATGAAAGGATTTTCAAGGAAGTTATCGGATATCGAATCATATCTATGTCTCTGTTTGGAGGTCTGTAAACCCAAGAAACAAGTGTGGCCTAAAGTAGGGAGAGCCTCAAACCGAATGCTGATAGGAGGGGTCTTCTGCGGGGAGACACCCCAATGGTAATGTGCACATGGAAGCGATGAACTTCCTGATACTTACAAAAAACACATTTCATACTCATACATCATTAATGTGGGTTTTCTTACAGTGGAAAAGACCGGGAAAGACCTGTTTCAGGGGCGAAAGAAGCTGAAAGAGCAAAACTGACTGTGTGGGCTATATATCTGCATCCAAGCGGCGCATGTTCTCTGCGTTGTTGGTTTTGTTCACCTGACGTGTCTCTTTTTTCAAGCTCGGCTTTTGAAATCAATTTATAATTTATATATTCAGTGGCAAATCTGGGCCTCGAAGTGATCAACTGTAGCGACCAACACAGGACATGACAGGACCAACATGTGATGCATCTTTTTTGTGTGACCCAACTGCCGCAGCCAAGCTTAACGAAGCTACACAATGCTTTTGTGGCATCTATGATATTTGGACCGCATATTCAACAACGAATATCTGGACATGCTGCACAGGATTGGCTGGATTCCTGCATCTGGGAGGACTTAATATTGTTGCAATTCCTGGACAATTCTGCAAGTTTGATGAATCCTGCACATGTGGAGTTTTGAGGAAGGGCCAATCTGGCATAAAAGGCTGAAGAATGAAGGTCTGCTTTCAGTTCCTTTGAATCGGTAAGTGGCAAAGGAAATCCAGAGACCGCATATCCAGTTGTAGTACTACAACTCCAAAGGAGTACAACAATGTTAAAGGTGTGGCGCAGAAAAACAAGAGGTGAGGGCCAGTCTGTTGGATAGGGGGCTGTAAAACCGATTGGGTGATCCGCTTGCATTGTTTCAAGTTTCAACATCGATGCAAGGACAACATGTTCCTTTTTGTGTGGGTCAACGCATATGAAAACCAACAACCCAGCACCATCAGATTGGATGACCTGCTCTGAGAACAAACAAGCACAATATATGACAAGTCCATCCTATCTTCGGTCATCGACCCGCCTAGCTGCAGTCCCAGCTCTGTTTTGGGCAGTCCCTTTCATGTGTCCATGATGACCTGGTTTCTACGTAGCGAACCGGACATCACAGACCCGTCGCCGCCTGAAACGGCACGCGGCAGGGGTGCACGAAGGTGTAGCCAGGCCTTGGGCACGCGACCCGACGGGAGATGGGCACCACTCGGACAGTCCGAGAAGCTGAAACTGCACATGAAATGGCAGGTGGTTTGTGTGTGCAGAAATGTTTCAGGCACTGTGAGCAGCACTGGCTTTGAGGAATGAATTCGCACAAATCATCAAATAGCTCAGACTCTCAACAAGTTCGGCTCTCCCTGCCGAGTCTGCTTTATTTTGTTCAGCTCTCTGAGTCACGGCCGGTCTGAAGTTCACAGGACCCTCAGGGTCTGTGGAGTCTCGGACTTCATGTCCAAAGCCCGCAGATGCTCACATGGACACCATTCCATTGCGAGCAAAAGGACCGTGTGTATGATTCTGTGATGGTTTTCAGGCTTGAATTTGGAAGATTTGGGGAGTACTTGATTTACGCTGAAGATTCTTTGCCTGCCCTCCTAATTGGAAAAGAACACGTGAAACACGTTGACATTTGGCGGACACATGAACAGCAAGGAGAAGTGCAAGGAAAACAAAAGCAAAGGAAAAGAAGAGGAACACTAAAGCGTCAAAGGATTTATATATGTGCGTTGCGTTGCATTTGAAACAGTGGAGGGCCAACGTAAGCCATGTATGAACTCCTGATCGATGTTTACTAGACACTGCTGGCGGCACAGCCTCCCAAAAGATCAAAGCTGAAAGCAAAACAAACAGCTTTATTGTTACTAATAGCGATGGCCTCCAACCAAATAGCGATAGCCTCCACCTAGTAGCTTCTAGTTACTAGAAACTGATTCAGTGAACAAACAGTTTCTAGTTACGTGTTTCTGTTCGGTGAACAAAAAGCCCCAAACCAAAGAGTCACCATATGTCACCATAGAAAGTATGTTCCTAAGCGAAAACACCTCCAAATCAAGTGTCTACAACAGCCATGTCGACAATGTCTTAGTATTTAGGTAATTGCCATGTCAAACATTCGGTGTGGCGTGGCCCACTGAGCTTCGAACTGTTTTGTACAACCATCCTGGAGTAAATAGAATATGATCAGTTTCCGAAAATATGACCAGTGTTCTATAAGTTCTTTTGGGTTCTCCAATACTCATAAATTATGACATTATAATTACTCTATCTACTTCAGGATCTAGACATGTTAATTCATCAGTATAAGTTTTTCATCTTTGATGGCGTCCATTGTTACCACCCTGCGCGGCGCATGCTCTCCAGCGTCTCCACGTGTCTCGAGTCTAAGTCGACGGGAAATAGCAACCCTAATCAGAGTCAATGTAGACCTGCATTTCCTGGCACCACCCAAAGCTTTCTTGGGGGGGAAGGACAATGGGTTAGTCAGGGTTGTCTGTGCACTATCCCCTTTCCGTGGTGCTGTTCGATGAGTTTGTGGATCGAACATGTTGTATCCGACCTCGTATTGTCAAGCCATTCCTTTTCGAGTATGTGTTTTATCCCTGTCCACCATGGCAACGTCCGGAGGTGCAGCGAATTCCGTTCGGCTCGCCGAAGAGTGACCAGCGCGTTATGGCGTCACCAGCAGGCTTTGTTCAAAACAAACCCCTCTCGAGACTCTCGAGGAACATAAAATAGATCGGTCTAACTTGTCAAACTACCTCAAAAGGACTTTTGATTCTCCAACCACCCCAACACCTTCTCAGTTCAATTATTGATCCTGAGGGGAAATCAAGCCTCCGGATGCACAAGCCCCTTGGCTGTAGCCGCTTGGTCTCGCTGCTGCAGCACTCCGCGAAGCAAACAGAAGCACTATAACGCACAAAAACCATCGACAACAAGAAGGTCCTTCATGAAGAGAGACCTATATACAAGGGTTGAGGTTGACCAGCTCCGCCCCCCTTCCCGGGGGGGGTCTTTGCCCCAATTTGTCTGAACTGAGAAATTCAGACACCCACCGCGTGGTCGCCAGGTCGGCTCCGACGGCTCCTTCTTCAGGTACAAACTCCCAGCGCAGGTCGCTCCCCAGGTCAGTCACAGGATCATTCCTCATCTGTCGGATTCTAACACCCAGTGGTTGGAAAATACATCCAGTCCAGAACCGAACACTTCCGTCATTCAATCCATGGAGTCAGTTCATGGTAAAGCACGACGATAGGGGCATTCTTCCGTAGGTTTGGCTTCGATCTCTCATGAACCAAGTTCCGCGGAGTGCGCCAAAGTCTCCGACTCTACATGTCCTTTAGGACATCAGGTCAAGCGCAAAAAGTGCAATCTGGCAGCAGCACACAGCAAGCGTTGACATGTCCTCAAAACGCCAAGAAACCCACCAGAAAACAACACTTGGGTGCTACCCAAAGAAGAAGACTTATGCGACTCCCCATTGCTTGGGAGCCTCCATATGCTTGGCACCACACATGCCCTCAGACATCCGCTGCCGCCAGCACTTGCAGCGTGAAGCAAAATATTTTGTTGCCGCTGTCAGCCAAGGTTGTCCCATCAATATGACAACATGCACGGGCAAAGGTGCATGTAAAATGGCAAGTGTGCATGGTCGCAAAACACGGGATACCTATGGGATAACTATAACAACAAACCATCCAAACATGAACGATCTGAGCCTCCACATTGTAAAACATGCACTCTTTCAGTTGGGCGGCCTGGTGCTTCGGCTCAGCCGGATTGGTTCCAAGTGGGAAGACTGGTCAACCTGAAGGCGACACTGTCAGATGCTGGTAGACCCCCCCATAATCCCCTTCTGTGCATCCATAAAGAAGTGTTTCAACGTGCTTTTGTTGACTCCTGGGGTCTAGCAACATTTAGCGACTGGGTCTGCTAGCTGCTCCTTGGTGTTCCTATAAGACAATGTAAGTGAGCGATTTCTGTGACGATAAGTGAGCGATTTCTGTGACGAGGAACAATACTATTTCAGGTACCAGGCGGTACCAGGTACCTCATTCACATCAGACTCGCCCCTGGCGGCCACTCTTAGACTCCACAAGTTGAAAGCAACATGAAACCCATTGAAACGCTCTACCTGGTTGTTTGGCCGTGTGGGCCGTGGGTCTCTGCACGCAGAAAGGCCGCCTTGGCGGCGTTGTGCCGCACCAAGAGGTCAGGACGAACCACACGACGGACAAGCAGAGACAAGCAGACTTGACCCTCAGCAGTTGGACTGAGGTTCTTGATACTTATAGGGTCTATATAATTGGCCATGTATTCAAACAAGAAATGGTCTCGCACTCGGTCGGCTGGTGTTTTTTACTAGTTTCTATGTCTGCTGGGGTGCCCGTGAATCGGCTGGAATGTGGGGATCACACGGCCCCTCCGTCTCTCCAAGGATGAGACCAACGCCCGGGAACGCGAAAAGCGTCCGAGCCATCGGAACGACGAGTAGATGGTCTTCCGGAGCGAGGTCTCCGGCCGCGTGGGCGGTGGCGGCTTTCGTCAATGTTGAGTGAAGTGAAGCGAGGTGATCTTTAAGCTTATAAAAAACTTTCATATGGTAAGGCCAGAATCCTTGATTTAAAAAAAATCAAAAAAAGTCAAAAAAAAAGTCAACTGGAAAAGTCAAAGTCAAAAAAAAGTCAAATTGAAAAGTCAAAAAAGTCAAAAAAAAAACAAAAAAAAATCAAAAAATATCAAAAATAAAAAAAGAAACAAAAATGTCCAGTCAAGCGACTCAGGAGCAAAAGAAAGTCGGCATATATATTTATATATGGAAACACAGGCAAAGAGGACAACAACATTGAACTAAACTAGTAACAAGCTCATAAGTCAGCCAAGGCAAGTTGCAGCCTTTTTGCTTATGGCTTATGGCTTTCAGTCTATTAAAAATTCTAGAACCTTTTTGGTTGTTCAACTTTCACCTTTTCCAGCCCCAAGCCAGCCCCAACCCCCTACCCCAGAGTCGCAGGATCCCTACCCAGCCCCAGCCACTGTCCCAGGGTCTCTTCAGCCCCAAGCCAGCCCTGTCCCTGGTGGCCCTGGTAGCCACCCCAGAGTCCCAAGTACCCAGCCCTGTCCGGCCCCAGAGTCGCGAGCAGAATTGACTTTTTTTCGACTTTTTTTTGACTTTTTGTTGCCTCCAGTAATCCGCCAAGGCTAGGATCCGCGCTTGGTTTTCACATTTGACTTTTTTTTGACTTTTTTTTGACTTTTTTTTCGACTTTTT